CCTTAACCCCCGTTTGGAGCAAAGCGCGCGCAGCCCTCCGCCGCGGAGGGGAGCTAGGCGCAGCGCCGTCTGGCAGAGAGCCCTGCCCTCGGTGCGGGGGGCCAAAACCGGAGCAGCGTTTTGGCTGCCTCCCCCTCGCCTTTTTTAAAAATCTATTTCCAGACAACTTTCTCTCTTGTTCCCTTTGTTCCCCGCACCCCGAAACCTTCAGTCATGATGGGTGCCCTGTGGCTTGGCCTCGTTTCTTTAGATTCCTCATGCAAACGTGTAGAGACAGGAACTGCCTTAATGTCCGAGGCAACCGGGCCTGCGAAGCTCCAGGTGTGATCTTTTGGGTATGATCTTTTCTGAAACTCGTCACCGCTGCTGCCAGTAAAATGAGGTGTCTCAAACTGAGAGCAGGTGGTTGCTAAGCACTCTGTTATGCTGAACACCTAAGATAAGTACATATAATTGAATGTAACAAATTGAGGCCAAGTCTATTGCTTTGTGCAGTTGCTGGTTATCTGTCTATTTTGTTAAAGAGGTGGTAGCAGGAGTACGTTTTTTCTTCTCTAGTCCAACCGTATAAAACCTGATGTGCAAGAGAGCTTCTTTACAAGCTCGTGACCTAGCTGCAGTCAAAGCCAGTAAAATTTTAACGTGACTGTTCATTGTTTTTGTTAGCAGCGTTTTAGCAGTAGCAGTGTTTTAGTCTGGCTTATGGGGAAAACATCTTATTTCACGAGGCAGTTTATTTCTAATCTTAATTAGATTTTTAACATGTGTCTGTTTTTTCCAACTATATTGGCAGGCCTAATAGAAGACGTTACTTCTTCCCACACATCTTACCTTATTTTTCCTCTGAGGCCATCACAGCGACTTTCATGGCTGCAAGTATGAATTATTGAATATAGCTTGGTTAGCAGGAAAAGCAGTTTAGGTTTTTAAATAGCAAAAAGGGCAGCTTTTATTTTTGAAGTTGTTTACAGTAGAACTCCCTTAAGAGTTTGCTTATGTGCTTTCTTAGAAGCTATTCTAAGAAACAGAGGGTGTGTTTCTTTCTTTCTTTCTTTCTTTTTTTTTTTTTTTAAGATATTGGCAATTGTTTCACAAAGCTGAATAGAGTATGTGAATTATTTCAGTAAGATATCTAGAAAAATAAAAAACAGGTTTGCAGAATCTCTTATCTTGTAGTTCGTCCTCTTATGCTAAAGCAATATCCAGTCTACGTTCACTGTTCCTGATAGACGCATTGAATACTGTGTTGGTTAAATCCAGCCTACAATTTGTAAACTAACAAGTCTTTTCGGTTTTATGTCTGAAAAACTTTACATTAGTTTTGTTTTCCTCCTGAAAGAAATTCTTCTGTCTTGTCTAGAGACTATGACTCTGTTTTTAAAGATTTGCTCTCAAGAAACTAGTAACAAGATACAGAAGTATTTATTCCTGGATCACAGATTAAGCTCTCATCTGGCTCAGGAAAGTCACGGTCTTATCACTTGATTGCTTATTCATAATGATTTGTGTGTGGGAGCAAAGAGGAGAAAAGAGAGGAAGAAACAGGTGTTTAAATCCTCTTCAGCAATTGGTTTCAGTCTAGCTGTTGTGCTGATTTATGCCTTAAATAGGGAGGTATTTCAGTTGCTTCAGTTTACTCCAATGGTCATCCTTCTAGAATGGCTCTGACTTGCCTGTCCCCTCAAATGAAATCAGAGGGCTTCAGTCTCTTGGGCTGCTAGACTATTGCTTTCAAACTAATCTCATTTATATATGTTTGAGCTTTAGCTTTTTTAGGAGTTTGCATGCATGAAAGATTTTTGCCGAGCGGAAACCTGATCTTCAGAAGGAGAAATGCCTTGGCTGTGATCATGTAGGCCTGAGTTCTACCTATAGGCCATGCTGCCTCCAAAATCCCTATCCCAAACTAATATAACTGCAAAGAGAGTCAAAGAGTGGCCGGCTGTTGCATTTATAGGCTGTACTTGTCTGCAGGAACTGCAGTTACCTTCATTTCCAATGCCGAAAGCGTGTCGTGTGAAAACTACAGCACCTAATCTGCAACACTCCATCCAAGCAGAAAACCTTATGGTAGTTTGGGGCGAATGTTGTCTAGAAGTGACATTTTTTCTATAGAAACCGACAGAGGCAGCAGTCTGTGCTCTCTTCCAATTTAGATATGACCCACAGGCTCTTGTCAGGCTGTCAATACTGTCAAACGGAGAGTAAAACTCACCGTATCTGACTATGAAATCGTCAGAGCAACTCAGCGTGCAGGCGAGAAGTTATACTATGCAAACAGCTGATCTCTCTCACCAACAATTTGCAGTCTAAAAATCAATGTAGCCTTGGCAAATCTGTTGCTGTTCAGGTGAAGGTGTTTTCTGTGACTTGTCTAGCAGAAGTCAAATTAAATGCTAAGGTAGACGTTTGAAGTCTGAGAAGATACTCCCTGGGCTGTAGGCTCAGAGTTGGTTTTAACTGTGCAGTGCTCCTAGCGTTCACAGAGCTGTTACTTATAAACAGCAACTCTAGCCATCCTGATTATTGTTTTAGGATAAAAACTGTTTTCAGGTTGGTTGGTTGATTTTCAACCGCACCTTCTGGAAGGTTGTGCTGCAAAGACACATGTATCCGTATACAAAGCACATTAAATGCTGATTTTTTTTTTTCCTTCTGTTGCCTAGATAAGAGGCTGTAATATTGGAGGAAAGATCTTGCCATAAACTGACTTCATTTCTGACCCAGCAGAACAGCAGCCTGACACACAAAGCTTTCTACTGTCCAGTAATTAGTCATTACTTTTTATGATGGACAGTGCCTGGAAAAAAGTTTACCAGTGTTCATTATTGAAAAACAGTTTATAAGGATTTATGATATCCTTGTGCCAACACCAGGAAATAAACTCCGTATATGCAATTATCAATCACTTTAAATTGACTGGTAGATTTCTCCTATCTTGGAGAAAGATGGCCAAAGCTGAGTGAAATATGTCAGCTGACTAGCTCTACGTCACATGAGAAGGCCCTGATTTCAGTAACGTCTTCAGTGAGCCTCAATTTAATTCATCACAAATGAGATGTTTATCATCTGACAAAACGCTCCTCCTCTTTATTTTGTTATAAATGTAATAACTCACTTAGAACATTTTGCAAACGACATTTCCAGAAATCTGGGAAGCTGGAGTTGTTTCTTCACCGTTTAGAGGTTTAAAAACTGGCCTCTTATTTAGAACATTAGTTTCAGGACTAGGAAAACCTTGCCGGAGGACTACATCTGCCGTCTAGAAAAAAGCAATAAAAGCAGGTAGTTCCTGAAACAGCAGAACTGATGAAATTTGTCTTGATAGGGTATCGATACAGGCATGTGGTATACTGTGGACTCCTACTGAAACTCTTCCTGGGGCATCTGTAGCTCTTTTCCATGTGCACTTTTGATCTCTAAAGAGTGAAGAGAGAGCTCGCATTGCAGTCTTTCCCTCACCTGGGGCGCTTGCGAGGTAGCGATGGGGCCTCCCTCTTGTACCTGACAGGCTGTTTTCACAGTGCTTGAAAAAATTATGTTTTTGTGGTGATTATACTCCTGTCAAATCTGGTTGAAATGGAATGGGATTGACATACTGTCTGTCTGATTTTAGTGATGCTTATAAGCAGTCACTGTGGAACGTCTTAAAGACTTGTTAAATCTGTACTGAGAATGCTTAGCAAAATCCTGAACAGCAGCAGAGACATCCTAAGCTTTCAGAGAGGTAGCTTTGAAGATGACAGTAGTTAGTTTGAAGTTGAGGCATGTTCTCATTTTTGTACTGTGGAGGCTAAAAACTCCATTGAAGTCAAATCTGCTTATGGGCTGAACTGCTCAGCTTTCCAAGTAAAATTTCCCTTTATTCTCTTGGCAAATAAATGAGGTGTTTGGCCAATACGATTCTAGAGGAAGAGGAGGATGGTATTCAAACAGTTTTTGGTTTTTGAGTTGGTTTTTTTTTTTCCCCCCCTCTCTTGTGGCACTTAAGTGATCTCTCAGCCTTCTGTACAAGCACCTCCAAAGTAAATTCTCATGCCTCTTAACCATCTCTCTTTTTTGGAGATCAGCCATACACAAATGGTTGCACTTTTATCTCCTGGTACATGTATAATTAAATCTGGCTCTGGAATGGAAGACAGAGAGACTGAGAGCGCTCCTGAGAGGGAACAGAGGCTGATTAATAAGGATTATTAGAGGCTGCTGATTGAAAGGCTGCAGCTGTGATTGCCACAGGAGGGAGAATGTAGCAAGGTCTCAGTGCTTACAGTGGTGCCTGCCATGTCTTGTTGATTTACTCTGACCGAAGACATTTTTTCTGTGCTATCCTGCATCCCTAAATCAACTGCTATACCCCATCACCCATCTGTGGTCCTTTAAGGGGATGTTGCATCTGCCATCCATGATGGATATCGGGTTTGACTTTCACCATAGCAGTTTATGCCTTGAAGATAAGCTGGCAGGTTTTCCTGAACTCCTCCCCAAAGCTGTGTGTTTGACTGAGAAGCTGACCTGACAGGTGTAATTTAGTTTTGTTCTCTGTTTCTCTTTAACAGGCAACTGCTATGTCAGTGGACTGTCTGGGACAACGTGCAGTACTTTCGGGGTGAGTGTGATGATTCCTATTAGAAATGTACGACAGCCATTTCCACAAGCCATTTCCACAAGCCAATCGGCGACCTTCAGGCTGACCTCAATTGAAAAGCTGATGTATAGTTTCAGAAAGGTGCAGCTGAATTCTATCTAAGGCTTCACGAAAAGGATTCTGGGTCACGTTTCCAATGGGATACAGAGTTTAAAAACAGCAGCAACAACAAAATGAACTACTGCTGTGGCTTTCCTGATGCATGCTTTCCTGAATCCACTTGCAGGGGAGTGGAGCATCAGTTACTGCTGTTTGGCTTGTGTTTGAAATACAGATTAAAGCATTTCTGTAAGACAAAATTTACCCCAAACCTTCCCATAGTGCATTTGGGCAGAGGAGCCAAGCTCTCTGACGTGTTCCTCTGTTGATTCAGCGCGGGACAGTACTCGACTAGAGCCAAACTTCTGCTGCTTTGGCTTTCTCAAGATTCTTTTCTACCCTTTGTTCTCCCATTTCCTTTTATTCAATACATCTTTGTCACCTCTATCTGAGATGTAAGCAGAGCTGATCTGGCAGTAGCGTGCTTCTGTGAACATTAGTCTTTGCCTTATTTGCCTCTATACCTTAGATAAATCTGCTGTAGAAGGACTTTCTGAGGGACATGGGGTGTCCGTGGACGCTGAGGGACCGCAGTTGTTTTGTGTTGGTTATGGTCTTGCTGCTGAAGATGCGCGTGGTCCTGCAACCAGCAGCTCCAGTCGTGGAGGATCCCCTTTGCATGGCGCTGCAGTAGGTGCTATAGACTTCAAGCTGCTCAAGCTCCCAGGAGTGCTTGGCGTTATGTAGCTACCTCCAGGGCAAGTCTTTAAACTGCTCGGCTGGTGCCTGCCCAGCTGTCACCTTTCTGTGCTAACAGCAACTGCTGTCCCACTGCCAGTGACACAATTACCGCACCAATTAGGATGCTCATTTCACATTCAGAATCATGTGGATGCAGCTGACCTTTGGCTGTGCTCTGTTCCCCCCACCCCCCCTTCCCCAGTCTCTGTTTTAGAGGATATGGGTCCTTTGGTACAACTCAGAAGCCTGCTTGCTTCCATGCAAGCCTCTGTCCCCCCAGTTGCAGCTCCTCCTGCAGCATGCTCAGAAGCCCTTTGGAATTTGCCTCCTTTCTTTTAATACCATGTAACAGCCTCAGAGGGCTTATCGTCTTCACACTTCGGAGTCGGGAGCCCTGAGGACTTGGTCTGAAAAGGCAGCAAGGATGTTCTTCCTGTTCCTTTTCTTGAGAAAACTCACAGAGCTTAGAGCTGTTATTTGCTTGCTATACAGGTGACGTACCTGATGCTTTTGCAGTTAGTTGTATATGGTTCAATACATTTTGGTGCTGGTCTTCCATTAAAGTTCAACTGGCTCTCGGTTATCCCTGGGCAGTTTATCTTGCCTGTAGATTAATCACGCTGTGGAAGAAATGAAACCTTAACTAGCTTCATGAGGAGTCAGCCACATGCAGCAGGATGTATTCGCTCAGGTTCGGCAGCATGCAAACGTATCTTTGCTGCGTGAAGGGTTATCTCAGGTAAGTAATCAGTGCAGTGCTGTGTCCATGTTAATAAACTTTGTCTCAGCTGAGCCAGCTCTGTGCAGGTGTATTTGTGGTGTCTGCAGAACCAAGCCCGCTGGACAGTGTGGTGTGGAAGCTCTCAGCCATGTAGAATCATCTTAGGTTTGTGAGGTTCATTAACTCTTGCTCAGAGCAACCTGTCCAAACTGAAGCTGGCTCCTGTGGAGCCACTGCACTGCACTTTCAGTCCTGAGCCACGTCAGCTCTGGTGCTGCACTAGACCAGTGAAGCATATTCATATGTCTTTGCACCATTTCCCAACACTTCCTTTTGTATCTTAGTTATCTGAGTTTCTCTGTGGTCTGGGTGCCCCATTAGATTTGCAGAACCTGACTAATTTCAGTGTCTCTTTTCCTTTTTTTTTTTTTTTTTTTTTAAATACAACCCTTTTTGAAAGATATGGTCGGATGTAGCATTTTCAGGACTAGTATTTTCCTCTGTCTTGTCCAGTGCTTCTCCGGTGCTCTAGGCAGAAGGCTGTAAGCTGCATGTGAGCTCGGAGTTTGGAAATCAGCCGTGTGATGCGGCCGCTTTGTGTCTGTGCCTTGCAGCCGCCGTTTCCTCTACATAGTTAACCTGGATGCGCCAAATGAGGGTCATCGAAAGATCTCCCGCCAGAGCAAATGGGACATTGGGACAGTGCAATGGAATCCGCACGACAGCTGCGCGTACTACTTTGCAGCTTCGGTAAGTTCACTCATTTAAAAGCTGAAACTCTTCGTCTTCCTCAGTCTTTCAGGGGTGGAATTCTGCAGGCTTGGAAGGCTGTACGTAGCTGGCAGAGGCATGCCTCTGTAAATCATATTGCAAGATCAAGGCCTAATTTTGATTTACTACCAGTGAGGTGTTTGGCTTGATGCTTTTCAGTTACTGGTCAGTAAGTGTTGAATCTAGGTGTTGCTTGTTTGTGTTCCGTAGAACGCCTTGTCAAATAAATCAGACATCCAAATGATCCTCTTCCAGAAGGAAGGGTGGATGGGCTCCAAATGTTTTTAGCCTCCATTCTGTTATGAGATTTGTTTGCTTATTGAATTTCTTGCTCTGAACTGTTTTGTTTTCGGTTCCCTCCGTTACTGGTAGGATGTGGTGCACCAGGCAGTCTGTAAATAGCACAAGTCGATACTGGCTCACCACTGGAACAATCTAGGTTTGCAGAAGGGCCAGGGACCAAGTCAGTGAGGAGTTCTTATTCAGTGTGTGAAGTAAATAAGCTGGTCTGAAGAAGCAGTCATGCAAACCATGTCTAAACAGGGCTGATGTAGCAGTCACCTGAGGGTTGAGTTCAGTTTTTAGCTCTGATCTTTACTTGGTCTGTCGTGCTCTGTAACTTCACCTGGAGTGCCGAGTTTCTGCTAGCAGCAGTCTTTGCAGCAGCGCTGTGGTCGATGGCTAAAAGTACTAGCTGGACACGTACTATTCTCCTGGTGAGATTCTTTTCTGCCATGTTCCACCTGATTTTTTTAGACTGATAATTTTGGAGTAGCTGGGGATGGAGAGGTTTCCTCTTTTTATTTGTTTATATTTTTTTTTTGAGCAAGCTCTTAGCTGAATGTTGTTTCCTGGGGTTTTGGTTCCTTTTTCTTCCTGAACTGGCTACAACTGATATTAAAGATGGTTTTAAGAGTAGACTGGTGTTAATTAGGAACCTTTGCTTGTTAATTCCCAGACCCTCCCCCCCCCCTCCTCCTCCTCCCCCCAGCCCTAGTACATGACTGGCATCTTAAAGGTGCCTTCAGCAGCCCTCTGCTTCTGAGTGGGGAATTTAATAAAACTTGCAGAAAGGTGTCCTTTGGTGCCACTTCTGGATATAGTTTATGAAAATCAGAAGCAAATAAGGAAATGTGCTGTGCTGGCTGCAAGCAGAGCAGGAAAGCTTCTCAAACACATGCTGAAAGCAATATCCAATGATAGTTAATACTGAGTTGAGCAGGAACCTGTTTCAAAGCAGGGCAGTGCTGATCTCACCCCTGCGAGCACCCCTGTCTCTTGCTGCCCTGAGTGGACACAGGAATCTGTCTCGTTCCAGAACAATGATATTGAGGTTCTGCCTGTGCATATAAGCCTTCAGGAGCCATCCTTTGCTTAGAGTAGTAGTAGCTGGCATCAAACCTTGCCGTTCCTGTTTCCAAATGAAGATGTTAAGATGCTCTGGTGATTCAGATGCAGTTGCTGACACAGGTCAAGTGAGGAATCCCCAGGATGAGATCAGGCAGCTTTCCCACTTTGGGTCAGAAATGCCTCCTTCCCAGCCGTCTCGCAGGTGGCTGGCATTTTGCTGTTGCTGCAGTATATGCCTTTCCTGGAACTAGAATTTAGCCTGCCTTGCTTAGAAGGGGAAAGCAGACTTGTACCATACGCTCAGGTCTGCGTGTCCCAGGTCAGGTCTGGAGGCGGTGTGGGTGTGTTATGCAGTGCCATATCTAAGGAGTGAAGTTGTATGGAAAGGCTAAATTAGCTTGGATTCAGCACTGTGGAGATGCAGTTTTGCTACTTCTGGGCTCAAGCTGACTCTCATTCTCCAGAGAGTCTGCTGCTGAGGTGGTCCTGTGGGGCTAGCTCAGGTATACCACACAAATCTTGTAGACAACCCCAGGAGTCCTATCCCTCTGCATCCCTGTAGGTGGAAAAGGGATGTAAAAGACTACCAGTCTGATTGCAAACAACTTTACTGGGTTTGCAGTGCAGTTAATTAGAAGTGGTGCAGGCAGAGGGGAAGTCTGTCCTTGTGTTTGCATAAGGGCTTCTAATTTTTTGGCTTCTTTCCAGCAGAACATCATCTTGCTGTGCTTGGCTGTGATTGCTCTCTGGCTCAAGCACATTTCTGAGGACTCCTAAGCTGTTGTTTCAGAAATGCCATTGTTTTCCCTTCTAGGTCCCTCTTAGTCCTTTTGTGTGGTCACAAATGCTTGAACAAGAGAGTGATGAAACTGTAGGAAGTAAATGCTGATACTTATTATGAGACAGGCTTTTTAGAAAGTGCTCCTGACGGAAGAGCTGTCATTCTCCCACATCTGGTGCTAGAGACAACAATTTGCACATGAGAAGCCCCTCTAAGAGCTTGAGAAGCTTCTGATGATCATTATCTTTTATCATCAACCTTGGAGCTGATGGGGGTTGATTTAGATTGATTTAGATTTTAGTTGATGGTAGAGCTGATTTCACTCTACCTCCTTAAATCCTTCTGTCAATGAGAAGCTTGCAAGGAGTTTTCCTTGCCCCAAGCTTTTGTGCAGCCCTGCTGTGAGCTGTTAGAGAAATGCCATATATTATTGCTGAGTTAGGAGGAGACCTTCCATTTCAAGGAAGGGTGGAGTTTTTTATCCTTCTGCAAGCTCATATTCTTATGAAGTAGCTTTGGGGTAAAAAAAATGCTGCAAGAAAAGGAAGATAAGTCTGTTCTCTATTACCTTTTCCCTCATCTGTGTGTGCACTTGGAAATGAGGGGCTCATGAAGATCAAATTTTGAAGTGTTATTTCTGTTTTGCAAAATCACCATGAATTCCCACAGTGCTTGGTGCTGTATATGCACCCAAAAGGGCGCTTTCTGCTCCAGAAAGGTTAGAGCTGACCTGGACTACAGTGAACTTTGATTCAGGCAGAACATAAATTTAAAGTACAATATCTAGTTTCAAGTAGCTTTGTGTGTAGCTGCATTTTGGGAGGGGTGAGAGCGGTTATTCCTGGAAAGAGAGAAGAAGCCCTAAATAATCTTGTCATTGATCCATCTGGTTTGCTTCTGTTCTTTGCAGTTAGTGATAAGCACTTAGGCTTTTTGGGGGGAGGGGCAGGGGGAGGCTGGCAAGAATGGAAGTACCCTGGAGGAGGTGACCCTGAAGCCATTAGACCATACTGTTCCTTGTTTGGCAGTGGCCCTGATTAGTACAGAAGGGAATGGAGTGAGAGTTGAGAAGGACCAGTGGTGATCCATCATCCCCCTCACTGAAAACTCCAGTTGTTTAATCTGAACAGACTGGCAGGATATTTTTGCAGGGAGAATTTGGCTGCCTGTTGCCTGCAGTCATAGCATGTTGTTAGGAAATAAAAGCTCTGAGAACATCATTTCACAGAAACCTTTTGCAATGGGATTTTTCCCCATTCCTGTTTATCTCCAATTTTGAGTGGATGTGATCAAAGTTGACGCTTTTGAGATTCCTTGCAGTGTGTAGGTTCATTTTTGTTTTGCTTCTGCTTTGAGCGAGGACTTGGCTGTTCACAGGGTGATGCAGCGAGTAACTGAGGTTGTTCAAAGAGAAGGGAACCTGGTCCCGACACACGTGGATTCCTGTCCTACCTTGTTTGCCTGCCACCATTTCCTTTCTTCCATTTAATTTCAGAGCAATCAGCGAGTTGACCTGTATAAGTGGAAAGAAGGTAACGGGGAAGTTTGCACATCGTTGCAAGGACACACACGTGTGATCAGGTGAGGAACAAGCGGTGCTGCAGACTACTGGTTCAGTTCTGGCCCTCCTCAGGCTCTGCTCTGAGAAATTCAGTCTGTTTTTACTCACTTGTCTGACCGGTACTGTTTGCCCCTCTGTCCTGCCTTCCCGTTTGGAGATGATGTCCGATGTGAATCGGTTCACCCTCTCATGGCTCCCACCAGTATATCAAGTTAACCTTTGATGGCAGGGGTGTCATTGCCCTAGGCAGCTGTTCTCATAATGAACAGCAACCGTCATCTGGGAAACAGATAGCAGCATGATTATTAAACTGCATCCCAGCCATGTTTCCCAGTGACAGCAGATTAATTAAAGTAGGTCATCCCAAAGACTAAGTTCATAGCGTGTTACGCTGGTGTGTGGGAGGTGTTTACCGGTGGTTCTAAGGGTGCACTTTAGCTCTGGCCTGGAGATGCAAGTGAAGCAACGTTTTTCCTCGTGTTCCAGCTCCCCACTGTGAAAGGTAGTCACCGTCCCTGAAACGACACTTGCTTGGGCTGAGTGGAGACTGTTTGTGTGCTAGGTACACTTGGTGAGCCCAACAGGAAGGCACGCCAGAATGAAGGGTTCATCAGGCCAAGAATGCCTGATAATTGGGAACTCACTGCTATAGCGTCCCTTTCCCTGTGGAAGAAAGTGCACAGATATGATAGCTGTAAAGTTCAAGACTAGGAGGATTCTTCATTGTTTTATCTTAAAAGTTTACTTAGAGAAATTATTAAAATCTTGCCTTTTACTTAAAGGGGTTTCAGTGGATATTACGGAGTTGACATGAATTTATTGGAGAAATGTTTTGGAGAATTGTGAGAAGTTGATGCAAACTGTACTTTTCTCTGGCCTAATACGACTTTGCATTTGCAGTGACTTGGACTGGGCGGTGTTTGAGCCAGACCTGCTGGTCACCAGTTCTGTTGACACATACATCTACATTTGGGATATCAAGTAAGAATCTGTGCTTCTGCATTGCAGGGAGATTATTGGACTCCTTTCTGCAATTGGTAGCTTGAAGGGCAAAACACCCACTGATGGATGCTGTTTTTTCAGCTACGCTTGCAGGAGCGTCAACTGCTTCCCTTAATCTCAAAGGTGTTTTCGATTCCCATGCTTTCAAGCCAGTTCGGAGTCAATGCAGGGCAGTAGAGTGCTAAAGTTAAGCCACAGTCGTATGCTCTTGACTGGAAGGAATACCAATTGGCTTCACTTCCCACCCACTTCAGAGCTGTCCTTGGGAGCTTTTTCTGGATCCCAAGTGTTCAACTTTTTTTTTTTTTTTTTTTTTTTTTTTTTTTTTTTTAAGCTGAGTAAATGAGCAGATTCACAGTCCTGCAGCCATTTTCTTTTCCTCTAAATTCAGTGATTGCTGCTGACTCTGCCAACAGTGGGAGGACTGGAACTAGTAATTAGGAACCTTTTTCTGTTCACTCATTCCCTTGATTCCTGGTGTTTTGTATCGTCTGATTAATTTCAAGGTAACAGATCTTTCTAAAACCAGCGATATTAAAACCCAGCATTTGACACCTGAGGAGCAAGGAGCTGGCATTGGGACTCGGGAATTCTCTTGCTGTCTGTACAGCAACTCCTTATGACCCCTGGCAAGTCACTTGTTCCTCTCTGCCTCCCTTGTTCAGTTATAATAGGATAATTATATAACCCCACTGCACGAGGGTGCCCTGAGGCTTGTTTAGCTCATGTGAAGCACTTAGATCCTTGGTTAAATGGTGCTTGAGAATCACAATATATTATTAATGTGTAATTAAAAGACATAGACAGTAGCTGCCGGTTGTATTTTCCCATGGTGCTATCTTTAATGCCAAGCAAACAGACTTGTCTGAAGGTTGTATCAGAAGCCCCTGCTTGAACTGTATTGTGCCCTCCCGTCATTTTGTGTCTGCATGTATCACTTGTCCAGAGATGCTTGCTCATGCAGTCTGACTAGCCCCTAGATCCTACTTGTCCTAGAGGTCCTAGGGCTGCTGGCCTCCAGCAAAGGAACCTTTTGGTGAAGTGGCAGCCTCTAATGGCACCCTAGGGAGATAATGCTGCAGTAATGGTTGCTGGAAACTCCCCACTTCATTTTTCATACAAAATAACTGATTAAGTGGAAATTTTTAAGAGGGAAAGGTGCAGTCCTTTCCAGTAAATGTTCTGCTTTTCGGCAAACCTAAAAAGCTGAAGACCAACTTCCTTATTTTCCACTGACATTTTTCGTTAAATGGCAGGTGACTTTCTGAGGAGCAGAGTCAAGAATTGAGTTATTGCCTTGATCCAAGTCCTGGCTGCTATGAGTTGTCATGATGCCACACTGGCTTATACCGCTGCAGGATTTGGTCTGTAGAGTCTGCCCAGCTGGATTTATTTCCTACTAATGTTGTTATATCCTGGACATGAAGTCTTTGCTCTGAAGTCACTGTTCCGTGTTCCCCGCCTTCAGTCGGGGTCTGCAAAGGCTGGACAAACTCATCAGCAGGTTTTCTGTCAAATTCTCCCACAGCTCTGTTTGTTCTGTTTAATCCTCCTGGGAAAGGCTGTTTTGTTGCTTCCTGCAGCAACACTCAGTGAACCCAGTCTTTCTGTTGCCTGTCTGGTAGCAACATGCCACGCTGTGTGCCTGCCTTCCTCCCTCATGCCCCCTCCCACTCTGTCCAATGTCATACACTTGCTGCTGTAGGTAATGGCAAGACAGAACAGATGTTGTTCTCCAACTGGTCCCCTCTGTGCTGTATTCCCTTTAACTTGATGTATTTTAGCTCTAGATTTGCACTTTAAGTAAGCAGGAGGCATATTAACTTCCAAGGGCCAGCAATAGTTGGTCTTGAAGGAGCAAGGAGCTCACTGGAGAAGCTGGACCTGCAAGGCTGTGCCCTGGGTACTCACATGAGCAATATTGTGTTTCAGAGACACCAGGAAGCCTACAGTCTCACTCTCTGCAGTTGGTAAGTATGGTGTGTGCATGATATAGGCCTGTTTAATACCTACATTTAGTGTCATGTGCCCCTGCTGTTCCTCCTTCCCTTCATGCTCCTACGCTGAACATGGCAAGAGTACAGAACTGCCACCATGTGTAATTGTCCCATGTAGTAGCAGCCTGGGAGGCTGCAGCTCACAACAACTTTTGGAGGAGCAGAATGCAAGATGAGATGTGAATAAAGATGAGGAGGAGAGTTTGGTTTGTTTGTTTTTGGGGGGGGTGCTACTGATTTGTAGGGGTGGGTGAAGGTACATTAGAGGGATGAGAGCAAGTTGAAGAAAGAGGCAAGTTTCAGCAGTGGCAAGTGAGCAAAGGGGGCCTCAGCCCAGTGACTGCCTGGCCTGTACGTCTCCATGAGCCTGGCAGTGGAAAGGGCAGTGTCCCATTGGTGTGTGCTGAAGGGGAGCTGCTTGCCTACCTGCCAACCAAATAGAGTTATAGGGCTTGCGGTGTGGAAAGAGGAGGCAAAATGAATTCATGGGGATGATTTAAAATGTGTGAAAAGAGTGGTAAAATGACGGGGCCAGGGCCTTCTGCAGGCTGGCCGCAGGGTGGGTAAGCCCTTGCCCCAGGTTCTTGTCTCAGCTCTTATTGACTCTCCCTTAAGCCCTTATTCAAGTTGCTTTTCAGAGTCTCCTATGGCTTAGTGCCTTGCAGTGGGACTGCCTTGGCTGTGTCTCCAGCCCTTGGATGTCCCTGGGCATGGAGAGCAGTGGCAGTGCCTGGGCTGGCTGTCCTGAAATTGGTGGGCAGTCACATTGTAGTTGCGCCATCTAGGCGTAAGCAGCTTCCGCCCTGCTTAACCACCCTGCTGCACTGCTCGTCTTCTCTGTGTTGCCTGTTCGCAATTTCTCCATGGCCTTTTGTGTTTGAATTAGCTGAGAAACTAAATCGCACCCAAAGTTGTGGTTTTGAATGATGCTGACTGCCCAGCCTGCCGCCCTACTTGCTGAGGGATTGGGTACATTAACAGGCTGTGTCATGCTTCTCTGGAGCGCCTTCAGCATGCTGGAAGCTGCAGCAATAACACAAAGGTGCTTTCTTTGGGCTGTACTTGCTTTGGAAAGGCATCTGTCATGGCTGTCAACAGCATGACTGTTCAGATGTCTTTAATACCACCTGCTGGCAGGTGCTGTGTGGACAGTCCTGACCAGCTGTTTGTTGAAAATGGGCAAAGTACAGATGACCAGAGGAAAACATGCCCTTTTCCTGAGTTACCGTTCCTGCTGTTACAGCAATGCTCCTAACACTCATTTCTTATATTCTGCTGCTTGGATCTCCTTAGGGTACACATTTGCAGTGGCTCCCCTTTCCCCCTCAGCTATTAAGTCACTGGACCACAGTGATGCAAAAAACTTACTGATCCGGAGCGGTGTTCTGTTCTTGTGCTTGGGGTGAAGTTTCATGAGTCAGCTGAGCTAGCCCAAGAGAAAGATTCCCTCCTCCCATGCCTGATTCTCTTTAGTGCTGGTCCATTTGTGTACCCCTCAGTGAGCCTGGATCAACTCAGTCAGCTGGTAGCCTGTTTGCTTTCCCCCACCCCCGACTAGTTTTTTGCAAAATCAGCAGGACGAAACAGCTCACCATGCAGCAGGAGGTAGGTAGTGAAGGGTGGGCATGGCAGCAGGCTGTGGGATTCGCGTTCACCTCTCTCATGGACCTCACCTTTGGTGCAGCTTTCCGATAGCTTAACGTCTTTTCAAAGTACTGACGGAATAAGAAGATAAGGATAAGGGAGCTATGTGTATTTCTCTTGCAATATCTGGACAGTCCACATCAACCTAAGCCTTATTTTGTTTCTCATTAGAAACAACCAACTTCTGATTTTAGGCTATTCCCAGGTCCCTCGTGGTATCTTGGACCATCATCCAGTTTCTTTGCAATTCCATTGATATCGTTGTTTTCTGTGTTTTGGCAGTGAGTTTCTTAGAGGGGTTTTCTCATTCACCAAGAGCCACCCATTGTGCACCCCTCATCTGGCCAGGCATGTGATCGACCTGCACTGTAGCCTTCTCTCACGTCTGTATTTTAGTAATATACAGGAAACCAGTGTTACTGGTCTAACCTCAGATAGTACGGAGGGAGTTGGGAGGTACAAATGAATCCTAGAGCATCAGGGAGTAGCTTGAATGAAAAGGGAAGAGATTTGGGGTGGGATGTGTTTGATGCAGCTGCAGTTTGTGTGTGGAGGAAACTGCTCCATCTGAGTTAACGGAAGTGAACGTTTTAATCGGGTACAAGCCATGGCTAGAAGTTGCAACGGACATTTCTAAGCACGTATGTAACTGCAACATGCTGGCGTTGAGGTCTTTGGGACACAAACGCTAAGCCGCAGAAGCAAGAACTAGTCATTTTTTTAAAGACAGCAGGATGCTGCTCGTCCACTCCCAGGCCATGAAGCAGAGTCATCTTTCACACCGACTCCTGGGATGTCTTTCCTCTGAACTACCTTTTCAGTGCTAGGGAGAGCTCTGCTGACAGGTCAAGGGTTTACTGTGCTGCTTTCTAATTGCTTGTCTTGACCTGCTCTCTTTGTGTTGCAGCTGGAGCTTCCCAGGTCAAATGGAACAAGAAAAATGCCAACTGTTTAGCAACCAGCCATGATGGGGACGTCCGAATATGGGACAAAAGGGTGAGTTGAGGGTCTCTTGAGCAGCCTGTGCATGTTTCCACTTAATGAATACAGGCATCTCTCTGGTTACAGATAAATACCCAAGGAGAAAAATGCACATCTTCATCTCCCATCTCTCTTATGGGTGGATTTAAAGTAGAGGCACTTGGGAGCCCAGGATATTGAAGAGAGCATATAGCCTCCTTTCCCAGAAATTGTACCCATTAACGTTTTGGCTTTGATTCCACAATACTTAACTATTTTACTGAGTATAAAGTATGGTGCAGGGCTGTACTCGGTGACTGTGGAATTTGTCACTGCCTTTCACAGGACCTTTCCTTCAACTACTCTTACTGAGCTATTAGCCTTTCCCCAGCAGGTGGGTGTTCTACCTCTTGCCCTTGTTGAAGTGTGTCCTTCTACACCAAAGAACTAGACCAAATTTCAGGAGTCCTGTGGTGAGAAGGAAAACATCTCTCCTTGCAGAAACCCAGCACTGCAGTGGAGTACTTGGCAGCTCATCTCTCTAAAATCCATGGTCTGGACTGGCATCCTGACAATGAGTACACACTGGCCACCTCCAGCCAGGACAACTCTGTCAGGGTAAGTGTTGCTTCTGGGCCTCCTACTTGGAAGATGTCAAGATGGTGATGCAAATCACTTTCTACTCCTGATGAAATCTTTAAAAATGCTTGATATTGGCAAGAAGAGGATCAATTTTGTTTGTTTGTGTCTGCCATTCTGTGTGTGTGTGTGTGTGTGTGTGTTGACCCAGGGGTATGCTCCCAGAGCAAGCAGAGAAGTCATTGGAGGATGGGTGCACATATGCTTGCCATAGTTAATGTAGCTGTGATGATTTGGGCAGTACTGAAGCTGAAAACAACTGCCTCTGCCTGTCACTTGCCAGAGGGGAGCTGGCCACGCATGTCAGAAGAGTCTTCTCCCCAAAATCCAGTGACGCCAAGCCTCAAGCTGATTCCAGCAATTTGGCAGGAGACATACTCCAGCCCCTGAGGTTCCCAAATTTGTGTCAAATTGGGTTATCAATAAGAGACTGCCTGCAAGTATTACTATGCAGGGCCTTTTACCTCAGGGGAAATAGCATGCTTGATATGTCAGCCAGCCTGAGTTCATTCACATTTAGCTAAGCTCAGAGGTGAAACCAATTCATGTGTATTCTAGCAAAGCAAAAGGTTAGATTCTTCATTACAAAATTAACAGTAACAGCAGGGTGGGTCTGCCTCCAGTCTGGACTGGCACATTGGCTAGAAGCCTGCAGGGTACCTTTTCGATTTGAAAGTCCAAGCAGGCTGCCTGTCTCCCCGCTCTAATCACTCAAGCTAAGATCACTGTGACCATGACCCCAAGTCACTCGTTGTCTAAAAGATGCTGCTAGATGCTAATAGCTTGGTATTCATCCTTTGGGGCCATCTCTGCTGTTAATGAATGAGGTTACTAATGATGCTGTGAGCACGCTGGCATGTTTGTGACTCTCTCCTATCTGTGAGCCACATGGAAACTGCAGCCTGAAAGTATAGCCAGCTGACTGGTGCCTTGGCTTGTCTTTTTGCTTTGTTGAAGTTCTGGGATTACCGTCAGCCTCGGAAATACCTCAATATCCTTCCCTGCCAGGTTCCAGTCTGGAAGGCAAGATACACGGTGAGTGAAAATCGCCCACCAGCTGTGCTTGTGCTGTGAGAGTAAATGCGCAAAGGGACATTAAATAAAGAAGAACTGCTGAAGGGCTTCTCACCACTTCTGCTGCCGGACATCGTGAATTTGATTTTGAAATCCCTCTTGGTGCTTGAAAGGCCTAGAAAAGCAACGCCCATGACGGGGCGCTTGGGAGAAAGAATTACTAGCAATGTGAGAGCCCAGGCTTTGGCATAGCCCTCCTGTGGGGGAACCACCCCTGTGCAGGTGGCAATTGCCTTGGACCGCCCCCCCCGCCCCTCCGTCCTTGTTTTGAGCCTGATTCTGTTTAATGCTGAGCTCCGTTAGAGCCCAGGCGTTCTCGTCAATGTGGAAGGGAAAGAATTACAGAAAATGATGATAGCAGTGTGGGACCGTAACTCCCCAGGGCTGACCGAAAGGGTCTTTCTCTCTTAAGCCTTTCAGCAATGGGCTGGTGACAGTGATGGTCCCCCAGCTCCGTCGGGAAAACAGTCTCCTTCTCTGGAACGTCTTTGACTTGAACACGCCTGTCCACACGTTTGTGGGGCATGATGACGTGGTGCTGGAGTTCCAATGGAGGAAGCAGAAGGAAGGTGAGTTCAAGGCTGAATGTGCTCTCTCCCCTGTGCTGCTGCCCTTGGCTTGCTGTGGGTGTGTAGGCTTGGCCCCTGACTGCAGTGCTCGTGCTATCACCCTTTGATCCTTCCCTTTCCTTGAAGTACCTCCTATCTGCTTTCCTGGCCTCACGAAATTACAGCTGCTTTGTACTTGTGTGATAGCAGTGGCCGCAGAAACATTACCCTATTGTTTCCATGCTTAAAAAAAAACAAATTTTTTTTGCTAAAAGCAAATCCACTGAATGCCCAGTGGGTCAACAGTGACTCTAATTGCCTCTGCTTTCCTTTGAGTCTATTTTAAATAGATCTTTCAGAATGAATTGTACAAACTATTAGATGGGAACCCTCCCCCTGTTCAGAGCTGCCTGCCTAACCAGCAAACCCCTCACATAAGTGCTTGAGTCAGCAGCCTCAGGCATGTCCTCCACCAGAGCACCAGTGAACCCGCCTTATCTGTGTGCTGGCAAAGGTAGGGAGGGGAGAGCATGGGATACAGAGGCTGCTGTCAGTTCAGTCCTGACTAAATTTTCCAGTGTAGGCAGTTAAATATAGGAAATTCCATATTAGGGGTTGGATAACCACACAGAGCACAGCTTTGTTGCCAGAACCTCAGCTGTCATCGACAAAACAAGCGCGTCTGACTTTGGTGTCCCCTGCGGTACTGCTTTGCAGCGCTCTATGTTAAAGTGCACGAAGCTAATGGGAGAGTCCAGATGAGCAGCGTGTTACCATGTGCCACACACAGCACCACCGGGGTGGCAGGACTCTAGCTCAGTGTTAAGCCCCCAGTTGATTTCCTCTCTGCACTATGGAGCTATCTGTGACTGCAGATTCCTGTACTAGCTCTTAGAGATGTTCAGTAATGTAATCTTCCCTACCCTTGGAGCCTGCACACCAACCAGTTATCAGTGGTGAAGGTGACAGCACTGGACTGGGATTTAGGACAGCTGAGTTCTGGTCCAACTCTTCCAACCAGCTGCTGGGGTAATTAAGTCACTTTTTTCTCTATGCCTTGCCTTTTTTTTTTTTTTTTTTTTTTTTTTTTTGCAAAAGAGGAGAACAGTACAGACATGTTAGTATCTGGAGGCACGGGGTAAGACAGCTTGTGTGAATGTTCAGAGAGGCTAAACCCTAGTTGTGTTGTCTTAGGTAAGTTAACAGATAAATATCCAGGGCTAGTAGTCACGCTCTTAAGCAACGTGAGTCAATCATATGAGCATTCAGAGTCCGCTTTGATGCCGAGACTACCGGTAAAGATAGCTCAAATCAGAGCTCAAATAGAGTCTGCTATGCTGTGCTGAATTAGATAGCCACTGTGTCTCAGCTGAAAGGCGTAGGAAGCAGCTGGGCAGTTGTGAATTCTTAAACTGCGGCAGCTGTTTGACAAGGGAAGCTTTAGCTGTATCGCATTGCCTAGACAAACAAGTCCGTGTACCTTTGTGCATTGATAGATAGTATGTGGCTTGATCCATTTCGTTACACCTGAGCTTGTCTTGGCAGCATCCAGGTCTTTCAGAAGGAAAAGGGAGAAGGGTAGAACCAGCTGTTCTTAGCTTAAAAATGTATTAAGATGCCTGCATCTTAAAACAGTTATGAACTAGATCATATTTTGACTTTACAGTTGTTTTAAATGTAAATCCATTTCTCAGCTGTTATTTCTTCTGTTCAAATAGGTGGTGTAATAGATGTTGTTCATTCCAGATTTGAAAGCTGACATCACATTCATTATTTTTTCCATTGTGCTTTTCATCTGTAAACCATACCCCATTTAGAGGTGAGGTAACTGTGGCACAGGGAGGGCTGATGCATGTAAGTCAGTACAAAGCAGAGCAGGACTCGAGTTCTGCCTTCCCATTTGATGCCTTGTTCACTGGACCTCCCTGATGGCTTGCTGCAGCTTGTTTACACCAAATGCAGGGTTGAGATAATGTGTTTTCATCTGGATCCATAGGTTGTTTCTGTTCTTTTAAGGTTCTAAAGACTACCAGCTGGTTACGTGGTCCCGTGATCAGACTCTGCGGATGTGGCGGATTGACTCTCAACTGCAGAGGGTATGTAAACGCATCTGTTAAATTGTAGACAGATATCTTGCAGGATGAATTCACCTCCCTTTCTTTGCACTCCTGGTCACTCCTGTATCCTAGAACTGCAGACAGAGCAGCCAGCTTCCTCCTCAGCTCCAGCCCAGCTCTGTGCTTGAGGCTTCTTTGTGTCTGTCTCTCGAAAGCTTCTGCGGAAGTACAAGGCTGCTTGGTGGTGTAACAGTGAGTGGGCAAGTCCTTCAGGAAAGGGGGAGAGCAGTTACTGTCTGCATGGCCTCTGAAGATGCCACCTCCATGGCTGAAGGACTCTATGACTCTTTTTGGGGCATTCCAGGTATCAGATAAATGCAGAGATAGTGCCCTCTGCTTCCCCCCTTGTTTCCATTGGTTCTTGGCCCTGGTGCAGGCAGTGTGAATCCTGTTGTTGTGCTGTCTGGCAGCAATTACAAATTGGCTAATGTGGTTACTAGAACAGCTATGCTGGGTCAGACCAAAGGTTCATATAGCCAAGGTGGCCTGTATTGGCCCATCTATCTCATCTGCAGCTGTGGATATCTTGGAACAGAATAAGAATGAGGCAAGTGTGTAGTGACACTTCTCTCAAATACCCTCCCAGCCTCCAGTAGCTTGCAGCTTAGAGGTTTCCTAAGCCTTCTGTCTTTGTATTTGGTAGAGTTTGGTGGACTTCTCTTCCATAGACTCGTCCCATCTTTCCTTCAGCCTGTGTAAATTTTTTTTTATCTTAAACATCCTGCAACAAGGAGTTTCATAGCTTGTCTGCATGTTGTGTGGAAGAAACAGCTCCTTTCATTTGGTGGGTTTTGTTTTGTTTTGTTTTGTTTTTCTACCTGTTAGTTTCATTTGATACATCCTAGTTCATATATTGGAAGAAGAAATGGGCAGCCAATCCTGTACCATCCTGTCTGTGCTACTCTTCATTCTGTAGATCTCCATCATATCCCTCAGCTTCCTCCTTTTCAAAGTCAAAAGGTCTTAGCTTCATCCCTTGTACAGGAACTCTGGTTTTTCTTGTTGCCTTTCTTGACCTTTTTCCAATGCCACTATATCCATTTTGGGATGGAAATCAGAACTTTGTTCGTTGTTTCTTCCCAAAGAATTCTGAACATTCAGTTTGCTTTTTAGATCATTGGGCATAATTTGATGAAAACATCAGCTTAGTTTGACCTCTACATCTCAGTCAGAACTTGCCATTTTTCCCTGTATACATTGCTTTATATGCATCTGTATTGAAATTCTTCCTCCGTTTTAAATGCAGTCACTCTTATAAGGTCCTTCTGTGATTGTTTGCAGTCAGCCACTCTCATCAGTACCCTAAATTACTTGGTGCATCAGCAAACTTGGTCACGTCACTATTCACCTCCTATTGCAGGTTTTTAATGAATATGTTGAGAAGCATGTGTCCCAGCACAGATCCTGCAGGAGTCCTGCAGGTCTGTAACCTACCTCCCCTGTGAAAAATAACTCTTTATTCCTAGCTGATATATTTGTACCAATTACTTTTCTATCCTTAAACCAATTGTTTATCTGTGTCGGAGCCTTAACTCTTCCTCTGCCCTGCCTCTCCACCCCAGTTTTTGTTCTTTGTCTTTGTCTCAGCCAAACTACACGCATGATGGTATGATGCCTGTGACCAAGGCTGTACTTTGCTATGTCACAATTTTACTCTTTCTTCTCCCTAACCTTGTTCTCCTCATCCTCCCTGTTTTCTTGTGCTGAACTTGAAACACAAGTTTTTGTGGTCTCTCTCTTTTTGAGACCGTATCTAGAGTGCTGGGCCCTTAGTATGTATCTGGGCCTCTAGATCTTATTGGACTGTAAATATCAAAATGAAAAGCATGCTACTATCGTATCTGTTCAAAAAATGAAACAGGTTTTGACACACACTAATTCAAGTAATTACAAAAGGCAAATCAGCTTTAGTTTAGATTAAAGTAGAACCTCTGCTGTCCTAACTGGTCTTGTCAATTGAGGGGCTTTGTAAGTGAGCAGGAGAATTTGCAGACCATCTGAGGTGACAGAGATGAGGAGGCTGGAAAGTGGAAAATAACCTGTCTTTGTCACAGAAACTGTGCCAAGGTCTTAAAGCCATGACTGTTGCATGGACAGACCTACCTTGCAAATCCGGCTCCCTGGAGAAGTGAGTTATTTGATGAGGGCTCTTCCTGCAGTTTGGTTCCTGTTGTGCAGCGTGTGTCTGTGCTTGTTCTTTTCAGCTGTGTGCTAATGATATCCTGGATGGAGTTGATGAGCTCATCGATGGGATTTCTCTTCTGCCAGAGCCAGACAAGACCCTTCACCCCCAGGACTCGGAGCCCCAACATAACTCTGGACACGGCGATGAGGAAGGTGAGGCAAGTGATGGCTTGTGGAACTTCACCCACCAGCTCTTTCAGTGTTGGGAACAAGATGCATCTTGGCAAAGAAAATAACACTCTAGGCAAAGCACAAATTGATGCTGTTTCAGGGGTTAATGGATACCGTGTCTGGGAGGAGGGAGAGCACAAGGGACTTCTCAGGATGGTCCTACCAAAAAGGTTGTTTTTCTCTAACAAGATGATGTTAAACATTCTAGCTATAAATCAAGTCTTTTCCCTGTCACTAGTAGCTTTAGTTTCATTGTCTTTGGGTTGTAGTTGTGTCGTGCTGCTGAAAAAGTTAGATAACCAGAAAATCAATTCTGCCTCTTAAGAATTTAGTTCAATTTAAGCTGAGAAGTAAGCCCCAAGTAGGAAGAGGGTGTATGGATAAGGCACTCTGACACATGCTGGTTACATCACACCTGTATTTAAACATTTCTGTTGCAGTTACTACATGAACTGATAAAAGAAGGATGTGGAGTGGAAGGAATGTCTTTTCCCATCTACTAGAAGCAGTTTGGGGAGGTCTCCCACATTTTTGTTCATTTGTTGATAAGATATGTGGTTGAAGGCTTGCAAAACAGAGGGGGAAGGATGGTATCTCTAGCCTGTGAGTGCCAGACAGTTGGATGGGAATGGGTAGAAGCATTGAATTGGCTTTATGGAAGAGAAAGGGCAAACAGTGAAGCGATGTGAGTGAGGGTTTGTCTAGTTAAAGCTCTGGCCAGGGAAAACATTCAGGATGATGGTGTCTGAAGAACGTAAGTAGGAAAAATGAGGCTCACTCGAGGCCGGAGTAGAAGAGGTTGTAGCAGCTGAGGCCCAAGGTAATGATGCGCATGTGAAAAAGCGCTCTAAAGAGATTTCTGTATCTGATGCTGAGGAAAGGCAAGAAGAATTGGGTGCTCCAGTGCATGTGTGTCAGCCTTGACTTAAATGGACAGTTCCCTTATGCATTGTAGTAGGATGCTACAGTAGACTCCCATGTGGTAGTTTCCCATGGGAAAGCAGAGTAGCTCTCCCTTAGGAGAGAGGCTTGCCAACTAGCTGGATCGAGGTGGAGCAGGTGGTCTAATAACTGTCCTCTGAATAGAAGGAGCCAGCTTCAAGGTGCCTTTGGGAAGGCAGCTCTTCTTAACTGGAAGTTTCCTGCCCAGCAAATCCCAGTGGAGTTCTTCTCTGCTGCCTGTGTGGCAGCAGTACAAATCTCTTCCTAAAAGCTGTCAGTGTCTCTGTACACGTGAGGGTTTTGCAGCACGGCAGCAAGAGCCCTGGTTACCTGCGTTCACCATGCACAGCACTGCCTGGAAGCACAGCATCTCTTGCTCTAGGTGGGAGCCGTAAGAGAAATGTTCTCATTCCACCTGCCGGATCTCTCTTTTTCCATGGGATGGAGTTAACTCTTTCACTTTCCCTGCTGAGGTCACATTCATATGTCCTGTGCGGTCTGGGTTTAGTTCCGTCTCGTAAGGTTTCCTTTGTGGCCAAAGGGAATGAAAATTGCTTTTCTGTAGCAGAGTAGATTTTGCTGCAAATCCTCTGCAGGATCAATGTGCAAGCACGTCCCTAGGTAGGAATTTGAGTCCTTTCTAGCCTAAAACCTGTTGTGGGCTGCTGATGTACACTTAAACACTGCTGTTCACCCTGGAGGTGGCTTCATTTCGGCAGCAGACAAAGTCTCTGTGTTATATTAGTAGAGCACTTTGGGGGATCTTTGTAGCGAGCAGGGCTCTGCAGATAAGTCAGAAAGCCTACCAGCTGGTTTTCAGAATAAAACTCTCCCCACAGGCTGTTGTCTATAAAGGATCCTTAGGAATCTAGACAAATATGTAGGTTTTTGAGGATTTAAAAACTAATTGGAAGGGAATGGGGGAAGAAGAGGAAGGGAGGGCACTTCCCATATTGGGAACCTCAGCGATGGCATTTCAGTGGGTTGTATTGTATCTTGAGCTAGAAATAATCACTGTCTTCTCTGAGAGCCACTGATCTTCTTTTGATCCTTTTTTCAGCACCCTATTGTGAAGTCTATCTAAGCAATATAATAAAAACACAAATAGGAATGAGGGAGCTAAGCATCCTACCCAGTCAAATCAGAAGCCAGCTGGGCAGCAATAAAGCTAGATATGTTTGTCGCAGCAGCAAAGTTGGTAACTTTCAGGTAAACTCTTGTAAAAGGACAACTTCTTGTACTCCCCCCGGGAATAATCTGTAAAATATCAAGGAAGAGCATGACAGCTGAATAAATGGGACTTTCCTTGTGTCCTTGGAGCTATCATCAAAGGCTGCTTTTGGCCTCCTTAGGAAAGGGTGCCACAGCCAAAGCCCCTTCAGGATGAGGTGTCCCTGCCCTAATGGGGATATACAGCAGGAGTCAAGGCAAGCTAGGCGCAATAATAGGCAGAGAGCAATTATTCTGAAACTCAGTAAATAATTCCTTGTGTCCTGCAGGACTTGCCTCGCTGTTTTAGTGTACCCTGACTTTGAGGGGGTTTTTGTCCTCCTGAAAACCTGCGTTAGGAGAACTTGTCAGGTAGACTCAGTGTTTAGATGGGTGTGGAAAGATTGTTCACTAGATTGCTTTGCAGCATTACATGCAAACTGCTGCTACAAATGAATTAAGCCTCTCCTAGGGCCGGAAACATCCTCTTCTCTCTTCTGAAACCTTATTCATTAGATCGATTTGCAAGCACTTTCTGAAAGCCAAGATCAGTGGGGTGTGAATCCCGAAGACCAGAGCTCCTCCTGGAGAGTGCTTTGGCAGCAGTTTCTTTCCTGCTAGACCAAGAGGCTGCAGTTCAGTTGTTTGTGACTCTGGCAGTACTGCATGAAGAGGAGAAGGTTTCTCCTTCTCCTAAGTAGAGACAGACCATTTAGGGCCATGCAGGCTTCAGACAGCTTCTGCAGCCTTCCTGGGAAACCAATGTGCAGCCAGATTTGCTTCTTCAAAGAGCAAGGCTTCGCAGCCTTCCACTGAACAACAGCTGTGACTGTCTAGCTTGCAGGTCTTTCTCTGGTAAAACTCATACCTCCATGTGTCTAAAGAGCAGAGGAAAAGCTGTTCTCTTGGCTGCCTCCTGGTGTTGCATGCTGAAGGATCATTTATTATACCTTGTCTCAGCCTGTACTCCATCTTTCTTGTCAGCCTTAAAAGAAGATTTCTTGAATGACCTCCTGGTAGGAAAGAAAACAGACCAGCTGGGACTGCCTCAAACACTGCAGCAGGAGTTTTCACTGATCAACGTGCAGATCCGAAATGTCAATGTAGAGGTAGAGAGTTTTCTTTTGCTGGCTTAGTAGGAGGGGGATGTGGGTGGGCTGGCTCGTCAGAGCTTTTTGAGGGGAACCTCTTTGCTGTACAGTGACTGTTGGCTGTAAACAAGATTTATTTTGGGCTATAGAGATCCTCTTGGCCAGGGGTAATAAGAAAGAGTTTAATCCCAGACACCGGAGGTGAGGGAAGTATTTCGGCATGGTAAGTACACTGGCTCTTGTCCGAAGAAAGCTGGACCGTGTTTTCCTCTCTGTTTAGACTCCAGAATGGAAAGTGAATTGTTCCAGTATGTGCAGATCATCTAGTTTCAATTTCTTCTGAGCTCAGTCTGCTGAGCCCTCCCTGTCCTCAGTTTTGGCATCTCCCTTGCACAGCAAACCCTCCTCTGTGCATGGAAGCTTTTGACTGGAGACACAGCGCTGTTCTGGGGTGGGAAACTTGAGGCAGCCGCCTGTCTCCCTCCCTGCTCTATCCGATTTTACAGCTCATGGCATGCTCCTGATGCAACTTTTGAATCAGTGGTTTATGAACTTATGTGCAGCTTATTAGTGCTCCTCTGGGCCTGGAGCTCGCCACGGCCCAGTGAAGTGGGCTGGGGTGCCATGGCTGTTGGGAATGGAGCCTGATGCCTGCCACAGCCCCCTCAGCAGGCTGGGCTGGCTATAGTCTCCAGATGGTTGGTTGCTGGACTGGCAGTTTGCTGGCGAACACTGGCGCTGTCTCTGCCTGGTGTTTTTGCTGTCACTGTGTTTACTGCCCTTGAGAACAGCATGACTTCATCTTATGGGTGTGTAGAGGAATCAGCCCCTCAGCATGCATTTAAGCTACTATAAATTTGAAGGTCCTTGGAGATCTAACTACAGAGCATTGTTTTTCTTCACACAGATGGATGCAGTGAATCGTAGCTGCACAGTGTCAGTGCATTGCGGCAATCACAGAGTCAGGATGCTGGTGATGTTCCCTGTGCAATATCCCAATAATGCTGCGCCATCCTTCCAGTTCATCAACCCGACCTCGATCACAGCTTCAATGAAGGCAAAGCTGCTGAAGGTGTGTGGGGAGTGTATGCAGGCTGTATAAATATGCACAGGCTAGACACTTGACATCTAGACTTCTGGCATAGTAAAACGTTTGGCCTCCCAAACACACAGGTGGGCTGCTGAAGGCATACTGCAGAGCACTGCTTGAACTGTTATATTGTGGAACTTCTAGGTTGAGTCTTTGTTGGCCTTGCAGCCCAGCATTTGTGTTTCTCAACTGATGCTTTTTGAACACGTGCTCTCCAGTGCTGCTGTCTTCCTCTTGGTGATCTGTATTGCCTGAGGATCCCTAACAGCTGCCTCCTCATGCGGCTACATCCAACCATTATAGAACTCTGCTGCAGAAGGATATTTCTGAGCTTGGATGTTGATTCCTGTACTCCCTTTTCATAGACTGCTTTTAAAATGTGGGGATTTTTTACATGGGTCCTGTTAATTCCAGACCAGGTGTTTGATCATCTGGTGCAGGAAGTCCTATTGCTGCTGAAATCCCCTGTCCAGCAGCAAGAGCTGCCATCCCTTGCCTCTCCTATAATAGTACTAGGAGCACACCTAGCACCTCTAGTTACCCTAGAACTGGGGAGAATGGGTGAAGCGGTGAGCTCTCCCTTCATGTAAAACAGATAAGGGCAGTGAGGTAGAATACTGCTGACTTTGTTGTGCTTTCATTCACTGTTTCATTGTATTCTGCCCTCAAAGCTGAGGGAAGGACATTTTCTGTTGTGCTTGCAGAGGGGAGAGAAGCCTTTTTTTTTTTTTTTTTTCCACTCTGCTGCAGACCATGGGAATGGTCAGTATTTACTGAATGGAAAGGGATAATGAGAGTTGAGGAAGCAAGGACTAGGGATTTCTGAGTTTAATACATCAACGCATCTGGGTGCTTCAGATTTCAGTGCTTCCGTCCTCACAAATCTAACAGTGCTGTGTGCTAGGCCAACAACTGTGCTGACCACCTTGAAAGCAAGTTTAGCCTCAGGCTGAAGCTGAGTTTGGCCTCAGGTAGATGGATCAATCTAGTCTCCTTCCTGGAGCCTAAATCCTTATTCTGTTTGCTACAAATTGGTATGGGACATATAAGCTATAGTGAAATGGAAGCCCGAATCCTGGATCAGTGTGCTGAACCTAGGTGAACTCTCAGTGCCCTGACTTACAACTCAGTCTTTCCTCAAAGCAGGTAGCACATCTTTGGACCAGTGTGCCTCCATTTGGTGTTATCGGGTGGCTTTGACCGTTCAGGATCTCTGGAGCCTGGCAACTTAGCTGTTCTGCAAACAAAAAGAATGTGGGAAGATGTGGATGTAACCATGATTCAAGCTGCATCTTGTCTGTGTTCCAGATACTGAAAGACACTTCTCTGCAGAAAGTGAAGCGGAATCAGAGCTGTCTAGAACCCTGTCTGCGTCAGCTGGTCTCCTGGCTGGAGTCTGTTGTGGTATGGAGAACTGCACGGGCTTTCTGCCCCGGTTTGTTGTCTTCTCCCACATCCTGTGTTTCTGACTCTGAAGTGCAAGTCCAGCCTTGTTAGACATGTAAATAGACTGTTGTAACTGGCCATTACGTTTTGTAAGCACTTGTAGTTAGCGTTGGAGAAAGCTGATCAGACAATCAGTTGCGTTTTGTTTCTGAAAATCAGGCCCTGAAGGCTTGCTGCTTTGGGGAACTTGGCGTACTCACTAATATTCATGCTAGCAGGAATTACTGGGGGTTGGAACACCCTAGTGATGTGCGGTAGCTTCCCAGCTCTGAGGTGATCATACAGGGCATGGTTGTCAGCTGTGAAAGAAGGTGGGAGTCTTCAGGGAGCTGATGGTTTCATTCTCGTCTGAAAGGCACTGGCAGATGTCTTTACCTCCTTATTTCTAGCTAAAGATCCTGCTAGTCCTATTCTAGGGGTTTTGTTTTCTTCTTTTAAACAAAGCTGTGAAAATCTGTTTTTGCTGAATCCTTGTGCTGAGGTTTTGTACTGATGGTACTGCAGATAAATTGAAGTCACACTCTGCCCTTAGCTGTGAGATCTATGATACCTACTCAGCCTCTCTGTGTCAGGTATCAGGTCTGTGTGTGGGTGGAGTGTACTGGAAAGGGTGCTTTAAGCAGGAGAAGGCTAGGGAGTCTCCTCAGTTTCTTTTCCAAGAAGCCTTGTTTTGGTCACAAAGTAAGGACTTTTTATGGAAAGGCTGATCTTAATGTTGTTTGGTTTCAGCAGTACCGTTTTAAGAATGAGAACTGTCACCATTGTATGGAAATCTGATGACTTGAGCGCGATGCTGCTGCCTTTAAAGAATTCCTTTAGTCCTGAGCTGTAGTACTCTACCATACGTGCAGACTTCTGCCAAAATTCCTCTGGACAGGCCTGAGGTCCCCTGGTATCTCACAGGGGACAGTATTGTTGTGTGAGATATCCAGGGTCTGAAGGTCAGATTTTCTATACAGTCTTGCCTTGAGGCTTTTGTTCCCCCCACTAAGTTAAGCTCTGAATTTCAGCACAGCTGTGGTGGGAGAGCAAATCTCTGAGCAAGCAGCTGGAGAAGCACTTTCCTCAAAGGTAAATGTGCTGGTGAGTGAAGCTGATGTTGCCTTTGTAGCCAGACCAGTAGCCATGCTCTGTGCTTGATCTCCTTTGGCACCTGCCCTGAGGCTGCTTGGCATTACGATGCACGGTGTTGCGACTGGATTTCCTTTCTGTGGCATCAGGAGCGTGACCTTGGGTAACTTTTGTTTCAGAACCAAGAGGACAGTACCTCCAGCAATCCCTACGCTTTGTCAAACTCTGTAACACCCCCCTTGCCCACATTCGCCCGGGTCTCCAATGCCTATGGCTCCTACCAGGACTCTAACATCCCATTTCCACGGACCTCTGGAGCCAGGTTCTGTGGTGCAGGTTAGTGCCATCGCTGATATGTTTCAACATCTGCCAGGGGAATGGCCCTTCTAGTGTCTTGGGGAACACTTGCCTCTGAACAAGGCAAGGCTTTGGTCACTGCCCTACAAGAAATTAAGAAAATGTGTTAGAGTGGCTGTACTGTGATAACCTTATAGACAATCACCCTTATTAGTAACTCTTACAGGAAGTGTGGCATGGAGTATTTTAGTATCTCCATCTGGAAATCCAGGAGTAATTGAACAGATGGCCTTTGGCTTGTGGCATGCCAGAAGCGTTGACAAACCTCTGTTTTGCAGAAGCTTGGGAGTTAGTATTTCCTCGTCTAGTCCCCTTCTAACAGCATCAAACTGCTGGACATGCTCTGGCTCTCAGTCTTCAGAAAATTCCTGTGACTTAAGGCTGAACTTACCCCTTGCTGAATCAGTATTTGTGTTATTAACCACTCCTTTTTCATTCTGCATCCTTCCCCTTGTCCAAAATAAATTTCCCGGGAGGTCAATGGGAAACTGTTCCCCCAAATGGAAGTTAGGGAACAGCCATGTTCAGGTTTCCAGGAGAGTGTGTACAGTGCAGAGAGCATCCTTAAGGAACCAGTCAAGGTGTGTGTAAGAGTGACTAAGTTTCACTGAGCTGTTTCAGATGCAAGCATGACTCCTCTGGATCTGACCACATTTAAATTTGAGTATGTTTTGAAAGATGCTTTATGTTCTTGGAGGCTACACTAGATTCCCAGCAAAAGTGAAGCCAAATAGTGCATTGAATTGGCTCAGGAAAACCTACTAAGCCCTGAAACTCTTTACAGCGGAGTGGGTGACTGGAGACATTTGAGATGCTAACAAGTGGGGTAAAGCATGTGAGAGCATGTTTTGGATTTGGCTTCAGATGACTGGGGTTATCCTTTTGAAGAGAAGAGTCTTACCAGCTGTAACAGTTTCTCTGCATAGCTGTTTATCACCACACTTTCCTGTGGAGCATCCAAGTGCTTGACAAATTCTGGTGAAGAGTTATAACACAAGAGTATGTACTTGTTTGCTCTTTTTCTTTTGCTTTCTTTTCTCTAACACCTGTAAGCCACTTGAGTTAGTGCTTTTAAGACAGTCACCTCCACGAAACGTGCTCTTTAATTTAGTGGGTTTGAAAGGAGAGGATTTGGCTTGAGAAAATTGGATTGTCCACTTGTAGTTTAGAAGTGCTCAGGATGATGGACAGGCAACCACCTGCCTGACTCTGATACCTTAAACCACCGGATTTCCCTCTGTAAACCACCCCTGCTTCTTGTTGTGTGATCTTCATGCAGTGTTCTGTCTCTGCAGGGTACTTGGTGTATTTCACGAGACCGATGACCATGCACCGTGCGGTGTCACCCACGGAGCCTACGCCCAGGTGAGTATCTTGTGTCACGTTTGAGATGTGCCACTGTCATGCCACAACCTGACGATGGCAATGGATGAGAAGGCAGGAGAATGTCAGATCCTCCACTAGAGCTCTACTGACCTTCAGAAAGTATTGACCTTCCCTGTGCCCTGGCCTCGGAGAGGCTGGGCCCTTCTTTCACTGGCTCTCAGCAGAGACCCCCTTCTTTCTACACGCCAACTGACAGCGTGGTTTATTGGAGCTTTTAACTCCACTACAGTTTGGATGCAAGCTCCTGAAAGTGTATGCTCTTGTTTCTAGGTCTCTGTCAGCTTTATCAGCATACCATAGTGGCCTCATTACTCCAATGAAGATCCGTACGGAGACTCCAGGCAATCTGCGTTTGTACAGTGGGAGTCCCACACGTAGCGAGAAGGAGCAGGTCTCCATTAGCTCCTTCTACTACAAAGAGAGGGTAAGTACCAGACCAAAAATCCTTTCTTCATGTTTTAGCTTTAATGACATGCGTTCCTTTTGTATGGCTGTGAGCGTTGCTGCTATGCAGCGTGCGGTAGTAACAGAAGCTTCATATTCTTCTCGAGAAGGCACCCTTTTGTAAGCAGCTCTGTCAAAATGTCACATTGATTTGTCTTCTTTTAGTAACTTCCTTACTAATCCTCTCTAGCATTTGACCTGTTTATTTTGATATCTGTCTAGACTGACCATCAGAGCTTCCTTCAGTGCTTTACACTGTCTCCTCTTGTGTTACGTAGGATTAAAATCTCACACTTAAATTACAGTCTCCAGTTAAATACACATAGGCTGTTCTGCTTTCCTCTGCCCTCCCTGATAGTTGGAAAGGTTTGGGGCTCTCTGCACCTTACTGACAACCTCTCCTGGATTCCAGGGGGGTGTATTTGGGTTATTTCTGTTACAGGTGTCTTTCAGGGGCATGTGCCCCTTCAGACTGTTGTAAACAAAAGTAATTCCTACGTGATTCCTGCTCCAAAGAGCTTCCAATCCATGTACCCCTGTTTTAGGTATAGTTCTTGTTATCATTGCTGTGTACAAGTTAGACTTGGGAAGAGAGTGGGGTTGTTCCCTTTTGGGAGATAGGGGGTGAGGAAGACCAGCTGGTAATTGTAGGGTGGCCAAATAGTTCTGAACCAGTTGAGCGCCCAGTGTGCCTGGAGCAGACGCTATGGGAGTAATCGGCCATGCGGTTTGCTCAGAAACAAACTCTCTGCGCTTCAGCAGGGAGGGGTGTGGAACGGCTTACAAAAATATGGTAAGCTTCTTCCCCTGAGAGCCTGAGAATTCAGGACTTTCAAGTAATCTGCTGCCTGTCTGCATTGAGGAGGGTATATGTCTTCTGCAGTGACAGAGTTTCCAGGTATCCCAAGGAAAGCCAAGTGCTGTCTGCAGTCTGCTGCAGTGGAGCCTGGGAACCCCTGTCGTGGGAGCAGAGGGAGAGCCCTGAGCTCTTGTCCTTCCTTGGTACTGAAAGAGGTCTTGATTTTTCTGTAGTCTTGGACTTGACAGCTAACCCCTCTGGGGCTGTCCCCTGCTTTTAGTTGATCTGTGTCAGTCAGTATATCTGCCAGCCGTGGGAAGAGCCTCCATCCCCGCTGAAAGCTTTACCTCCGCACAGACTCCAGAAGATTCTTGGAGTCCCTGTCCTGTTCTTACTCCACACACACTTTTGTGATGAGAAAAGAAAATGGTGCTTGCCTGATAAAAGAATTAGTCTGATCTAGTCTATGCAGGAGAGTTTATTTAAAGAGCTACCTCTATCCTCTGCAGTGTGCTTGTCTCTGACACGTAGCTCTCTAAGATGACAGACAAGGCTAAAAATAACGTGTGGAAGCAGCTTGGTGCAATTTCATGTGACCTGTCTCCCCAGCCCTTGTATTGATGGTGACAAGATTTTTGTTGGGGGGGGGGGAATCTGCAGAAAAAAGAAAATGTGGGAATCTGCAGAACAAAGCATATGTGTAGCCATGTCTGCTGAAAGCCAGAGAAAATTCCTACATTCCCCTTCCCCTGCCAAGCTGTCTCTTCACAGGTTATGTTAGAAGAAGGATAAGGGCCCTAACAGGGAGCTAGCTCAAATGTTCTCGCAGATGAAATCGTTTTTAAAAAAAAAAAACTCTATCTCCCTCCAACAAAGGCATGGAGAAAGGTTTCCTGACTCTTCAGGAGTTGATCTCACAGCCTTTGTTAGATCAGTGCTAAGTATTTTTATATTGTTTCTTTGCCAGGATTTTAAGCCTTTAAAAAGTCTGAGTCTTGTTAGCTCCTTTCTCTGAAGCTTGATTTTTATGCTTGTTATTAAGTAAAAAATGAAATTTTGTGTGGTCAGCTATCATGTTATGTAACTTTAGCCGCAAAGCTGAATTTCTCCGAGAGAGAACCACGTGTTTAAACCTAAATCCCCTGATAACAACCACTGGCATTGCTACCATTAACAAAAAAAATGTAATTTTGCTAGACAGGAAATGTTCTCATGTTTCCGTAGAGGCAGGTGAGCTGCTGAAACCACCAGATCTCCACAGTGATCCAAAATGAAACTAAATCTGATGTTGAGCCTCTCTGTGCTCATTTAAATATGCATACACCCCCCCCCATTTCACACATCCACACTCCTTTCTTCCTCCCTCTTTTTCACTCCTTCAAAGAAAAAAACACTGAAGAATAGTAGTCAGCAGAAAGGAGAACCTATATCTATACTTTGGCAATGCTATCAGGATTTCAAACCTAGATTTCTCTTAAAGAAAAATTACTGTTGTACTTGGTTACTGGGAACTAGAAACCTTAGCCAGGAAGATTTCCTTGTGCTGGAAGCTATGGTAACATATAGTGTTCTCCCTGAGAAGCTTCCAGAGAACCAGCCAGCTGGACTTCTGCATGGCCACAGAGCAGAGGTGCGTTTGCACAATTGGCGTTACAGGGCTGGGAAGACAAAAGAGCATTGCTCCTATGGAAAGCCAGCTCACTCCTGTCTTTGGCATTAGGGCTACTAACTGCCCAAATCCATCCCAGGTATAGACATTAAGCCCCCTCGATGCTCACAGGATGGTGAATGCCTTTTCCTGTGTCGTTTCTCCTAATCTGACAGCCTGCTGCCTGTTGAGTTTGAATCAGAGTTAGATGTTGGCGGTGCCCAATACTGTTGTCATCTCTGATAGCTCCCTTGCCCCTTTTGGGCAGAGTCTCTGAAGCCAGGCCATGAGCCATGCCTCTGGTGCCTTTTGGAGACAGAGTAACCATTGCTTGTTGCTGCACAGTTAGCAGGGCGTGAGTGCAAGGCTGTGCTTTTCCCCCTGCGCCAGTTACAGAGTAGTGCCAGTAGGAACCTGGGGACATCTTGACCTTGCCAGAAGGACGGCCATACACACAGGTGGTGACTGTGGTGTCCTTTCTTGGGCCTCCACATCATGCTTCTTCGCTGTGTGGAATCTGGCAGGGCCTGGAAACTGCTGCTTCTCAGGACTTCCCTCAGGCTTTGTCCTTGTGCCCACCTGTTTGCAGACCTTTCAAGCTCAAAGCCTGTGGGAGGGTAGCCATGAGTCCCATGGGCTGGCAACAGTGGGCTTCCAACAGGAGAATAGGACTTTGTGGGGGGATAAAGTTTGGTTTTGCTTGTGCTCTGCTATATTGAATCTCTTTCTACTAATCCTTTTCTCCTTCTCTTGTGAGTCGTGGTGGAGGAACACGCAACACAAGGTCTTCTCCTTGTCTCTGTTTCTGCAGAGCTGTACAACCAGCAGCCAACCAGTCCCTGAATGGAGCGTTGACCCTAGGCTCCCTGCCCTGCAGGGTTCTCCCAGCAGTGAGATGCAAGGGAAAGTAGAGGTTCAAGGCTGATGGTGCTGACTACCTGTTGTCAGCTAAAAGAAAAATTGAAATACATTGCACATCACACAAATAAGCCTGATCTTGCCCTTTTTACTACATTGTCTCTTACTGAACTATAACAGAAAATATTTTTTATTCAAGTAAGCGCACAATGTGCTTTGAAAAATCCAATTTGTTTTTAGTAGCTTTAAATACTGTGTTCAGTACTTAAATGTGCGCAAGTTTGGAAAATTAAAACCTACTCTGGAGTTATTCTGCATAGTCAATCAGTTAGTTTGATTGCTAACCCAGCTTGAGTAAATTCCTCAACCTGTAATGGCAATTTTCTCGTTGCCCTGCCAAGTAGCAAGGTCTCTAGATCCTTCCTAATATTCTGGCATTTGGCTTTTGTTGTTTAAAATGAAAGTGAACAGTTGCAGCAGGTTCCAGTGAATGAAGTCCTGGAGGATGCTGGACTTTAAAGGGAACGTCTGAGGAAGCAGGAGTATTTGTTTAGCTTGCTGCAGATCTCTGTGCCATGGCACTGGACAGCTGCAATAAAAACGATAGGACTGGCATAGCACTTAGCTGCCTGCCTCATCAGCCAGGAGGGAGGAAACTGGTTAAAGCAGGAGCCTGGCATGTGGAGCACCATGGTGTTGTCTTCTGCTCCACCACCGATCCACTGCAGTTCAGCGCTTGTTGCAGTGAAACAGCTCCACGTGGAAGACTTCATTCATGCTTGTAGTCGCTGAAGTCTTCCACAGAGGCTAGCGTGGGGCACAGACACAGCAGCCCACGCTTTGCCAAGGCTGTAGGTAATGTTGTGCAGTGCAATTGTGTGTGGATGAAAGGGGGGAATCTTGGTTTGCAACTGTCCGTTGTGTAACAAGAACCATTGGGAATGATGTCTTTTACTCTGCTGGTTCAGGGCACTTTTCATTTCAGTTTATTTACCTTTGTCTTTAATTTTCTTGGTGTCTTTCTTCCCTTTTCTTGGGTATAATGTTTTCACATACAGATGTCTCCTCGCTCTGCCCGGCGACGTTGGTCCATACAAGCAATTAACGACTTCCCGGTACTGTGTGCTGTGCTAATGCTGTCCTTGATATAACCCTGTCTTCTGCCCAAGGGCCCAAGAATAAAGTGCCACCTGCCTGACTTTGAGTAACCTGTACAAGAGGTCATTTCACTATTAGAATCAGTGCCAGAAGACAGACTAGGTCACAGAGGTGGGGGACTTGCACTCCACACAGGGCTTAGGATTCAATAAGTGTGCATGCATGTATAAGTGGACAGGAGCAGACACTAGTTGGAGGGTTACAAATCCTGAATTGTAACATATCTATTGTACCTGGCCTCGCAGTCAGGAAAGGATGCCGTGGAGTAATTTGAAGTGTAAGATAGGATCAGCCTCTCAAGAAGCAGAGTGCACTGCAGAGAAGTTAAATGATTATTATACTTCATCAACCAACTGATGAGACTGACATTAGAGCACCTCATTTCTGAAAAAAAGGAAGCCCTGCTGGAGAAGGAGTTGTTGCTGGAATATAACGTTAAAGAGCAGCCAGCCACTGGCTGGCATGGCATCCCATAAAAACTGGGGAAGAAACAAACTGATTGAGTTGCTGACAATGATCTGTCATCTCATTATAATGAGCTGCCTATTCTCAGTGCAATGCACCATAAACTCTTGTTTCCTGGAGCAATAAATAGAATTTCTCCCTAATTTGTGATCTTCTCCCAGCCTTTGGAATTGCACTGCCCTGCATTCTGTTTGAGTGGCTGCAGTTGCAGCTGCCCTGGCAGGCACTCCCTCCTGCTGGCACCTGTCCTTCCACAACTGCTTTCACAGACGTTTTCTATGAGTCAGGTCCACATGTCCCTCAAGTTTGAATTTCATTCATGTGAATGTCTTGATGACATCAGCATTGCTCAAGCTGTGCTGTAAATTTGTGCAATTACCTTCTCATCAGTCATCTGCCAAGCACAGGCAAAGCTTAGAAATCTCTATTTCAACTTAAAGATGATCTCTTTAGGTCCTATTTTCTTAATGTCCATGTGAACAACTGTTTTTTCACAGCTGCTGGCCTTCCTGCTTATCTCTTTATAAGACAGCAGGGAATAAAATAGAATCCTGTAACACCTGATTGAACTCGGTATAATAGGATCAAGCCTTCCTAATTGCTACAGCTCGAAGACTATACTGGTGAGAGAAACCAGAAGTAATTTACTTGACTCCATCAAAGGTTTTCTTGCGAAGAGCTAATAAAGAAATGTGAGCACTGGAGGCAAGAAATGAAGCTCTGTCTTGAATCAGGAATTGACTCCAAGAGAGGAAACCAAGCAAGAAACTTGCAAGCTTTTGATGTGGTAAACTGTGGTGTGCAAGCAGCCGCAGTTTAATTCACTTACCACTGATTTGGAAGGAAGAGTGTGTAGTGATGTGATGAAGTTATTTTGTGTAATGCATGCTTAAAAATGATATGTGAGTGAGTCAAAACCCAAAAGACCGTATTTGTGACGAGCCTTTGGAAGAGCCTAAGCCTACTTTGTAAGTGGGCAGTAGTGGCCAGGACGATGACACGGGTGTGCATGAATGAAGATGTGGGTTTTTCATGCAGACAAGGGTGCCTTCCTTCTGGAAGAAGAGCTCAGCATTGCTCAAGGTGCTCAGGAAAACAAGAGCTTAGCAAGATGAGAAGCAGAAATAATTCCTTCTTCCTAGATAATGACTAGCCTCCAATTTAGAAATGCCTGCGCTTCAGGGCATGTAACAGCCACTAATAGCTAGAAGCTCTAAAGAAATATTGCCTGGTACTGTGGGAGATGCTGTAAATAGTAAATGTTGGTTATTTTTAAGAGAAACTCCAGACAGTGCTGCATCACCTACACAGGGGGTTAATCTGTAGACACTTGTTCAGAGTGCCAGGAAGATAGCTTTTGCAGGGAAGCAGCAATTTTTAAGCATAGTGCTCCTCGCTAGAATTTTTTTTAGAAACAGCTTGAACCTGATTTTGAGCTGGTTTAACTCTTTTATTTTGCAAATGCCTTAACGCAGCTTAATCTTTGGCATCAAGTCTGTACCCTTCTGTCCGCAGCCCTTCCCTTTGCCCTACTACTACCAGTTTATACCATGAACCCGGAAATTTTGCATATAAATTGTGAAACAGGCGCTTCACAATTCACGATGCTCCTTGCAGCACTGCCTGCCTCAGCAGGATTCAGAGACACACACCCAAGCGTTCCGCATCCTTTCCAAGCAGGAGGGCAGCGTTTTGTAACCAGTTCTGCTGAGTGTGCAGTGATAATGGTGGTTGCTACGAAGCAGTTGGTGGCTTATTCTTGGGCTGTCTGTTTCTACATGTAACCCATTTACTGCCATCGTTATCACCTCAGATTGCAGCAAATTACAGCCTTGGGTACAGTAGTGCAGGTGCAGGCTGGCTTTTTTAGTCATTATTCAGTGCTGTTCCCTGCTGTCACCTCCAACCCTGTGATTGTCATAAACGCTCTGGTTTCTTTCTTTCTTTCTGGTGCTCTGCGGAACTGATGAGTCTTAATTTGCTGTCACTTACAGCTATTTTCTTTCTCTTCTTCCTCTCCTCTTAAACTCTCAGGAGCAGCTGGGTAGACGCAGTTCTCCCTGGTGTGGATTCTAGATTGCAGAAACAGCTAGAAATGCTGAGGGCAATACAAAAGGCCTGTGTTTTCCACCTTTAGCAATCAATAGAGTTAGCTTGGTGCATGCATGCTGATTTCTGCTTTAGCTCCAACCATTATGTTCCCTGCTCCCCTCCATGACCTGCACTCCAGCCCATAGGAAGAGATGTATTTTTTGTTCTATCCTAACACGTGAACCTCAGGGGCACTTTTCGATAAAGCCATAGTGAAAAATTCTGGGAGAAGAGGTAGGGCAGAAGGGGAGAGAGGAACCTTGTGGTGAATCTTGAGTGGGCAGGCCCAAACTAGAGCTCTCCTTGCCTCTGGTAACCCCAGTTAAAAGTACCCAAACACTGCCTGGTGGAGAGCTGCTCTGGTAGCACACCAGTGATTATTTGGTTCAAAGTGGAACTTCCTCTGCTGTTAAAGGTGATGAGCTTTACCTCACCCGTGATGTTCCCATACTTCTGATTGTAGTTTTCTTCCCTGCGTTTCGTTGCTGTATCTATTGGAGGCAAACCTGAATTCTAAAAAACATTGAGATTTTTAGTGGTGAATGTACATGCAGCCTAATGATTTGCTCCTATCACAGCTCCATGGGCAGGAAGTGGTGGTCATGGAAGCGCAGAGTTGAGGGCATATGGCTGTTGTCTAACTCCACCCTTGGAGCTGCACCAAGAAAGAATTAGGGCTTCCCTTTCTGCCAATAAATAAGCACTGCTAGAAGGAAGAAATGAGGAAGATTTGGTTGAGAGTCCAAGTTTTCAAGAGGCTCTGATACATTTAGTGTCTTCATTTGTCTGGTGATATGCAAACAGTGAACAGTGGAAACCATTCACGGGATCTCTTTTTTCCATTCTCACCCTCATCTGTTGTCGTTCTCCTCAAATCAATAAGTGACTGAATTACTTGTGGAAAGTGATATGTGTTGTCCGTGTTTCTAGTCTTTGAAATGCCTGTCAGGAGGCTTCTTCAGTCCGTTCTTGCTGAAGGCGGGAGCAGGTTGGATCTGTTCCTGGTAAGAGGGCAGTGAAACTGCCTTGGTCAGAGGGAACTCCCCATCAGCTGTGGGTGCAGAGTAGGTTGAGTCCTGGGGGGCAGCTGGCTTACAGACGGTCCAGGAGGTGGCAAGTTGCTCTCCAGATTACCTCCCAAGCTACAGAAGGCCTTGGTGTTAGACTGGCAGAACGTGGTTCTGCTTCTACAAGCCTGGGTCCAAATACCTGTGCAGCGACAGCACAAATGAAGGCTTTTGATGGGCAGTGTTGTGAGTGAAGCCCGCTAGCCCTTCCGGGACAGCGTCTGCACTCTTGCTCTGCTGGCATGTTGTCGTGCTGGGGTTCTCAAGCTTACTTTGCTTAAGTATTGTTTTTGGCAGCATCAGCACATAGGAGACAGCACTTGGCTGCTCTCACAGGGAATGGGTACAGGTACCACAGTTATGTGGGAACCTTGCTGTAAAACAGTCCACGTCCTTCAGCATGGAAGAGGTAGCTGTTTCTAGATACTTTCAGAAGAGGTATAGTCTTCCTACTTGGGTAAGAGTCAGAGCTGATCCAGACAGTGACTTGATTAGAGAACTGATAGTTTGAAGAGAGTTTGACCTCCTCTCAGATCACGTTCTAGCTCACCTTCCACTGCATAGTCCTGTTTGGGTTGAGTGTTGTAGCAGGTAAATACTGAAAGCAAATTCTGCCTGGATTGGTTAGGACTTGAGGGGAGGTAGCTGAGAACAGAATTAGGCCCTGGTCAGCCACCTTTTCCGAAGCATTGAGTGCTGATAGTCCTTCTCCCACCAGCGTTTAGTGCCTCTGAATCCTGGGCAGCATGTGTGCTCTGCTCCTCTTTACTCTGGGGAATGGTGAAAAATTCCCCCCTCAATTTCTTCAAGTCTAAGACACCTCCTTTACTTACTGTCAAGCCTATGCCTAGGCCTCCGAGCCTCAGTCACCTGCAGTGTCCAGAGCAATGGAAGGAACACATGCTCTTTGCTTCTTGTGGCACGTGCTAGCAGTATAGTCAACTATGTCAAAATTTCCTCAGCACGTTGGCCTAAGCTTCTGCCAGGCAGATGGTGAGGAAGGAATTAATTTCTTAAAATTCTTTGTTATGTGTGTGTGGTTTGGTTTTTTTTTTTTTTTTTAGATGTTTTGTATCTGTGATATGCCTGCTCAGGTTCCTGTAGGATGGCAAAAATGATAGTCAAAGGCAAGTTGGCACCCAGCCATCCCAGAGCCTGCCTGGCATCCACAGTCCAGATGACCTTCCTTGCAGGCCCAAGTTCTGCTCTTCTTCTAGTCCAGCCTGCTCTTCAGGAGCATTGAGGTATTGCCTGAGCGGGCTTTGCCTGCCTTGCAGAGCTGTTGGTACAGGGATGCTCTGCTAGCCTGTTCAAAGGGACTGTTCTGCTTCTGATGAGGTGTAGGAAACCCCACCACAAGAGCATAGGAGACCCTCCGTAATTGACTACTACTAGGAAGCTCTTCTGTGTAGGAGCATCAACACCTTGTGTCAGTGAGAGAACACACCACAGGAGGGCGTTACAAAGTGTCCTTTGTTCTTCCTAGGAGCCCTGCGTAGCAGCCAGTGCTTCCCTCAGTAGATCTCCAGTGCCTTCTGCCCGTCATGCTGCACCATGTCCTCTCTTCCCTCCTCACCACTGTCCTAGAGAGTGAGGGGCTGGAAGAGGCCAGGATGCCAGCCAAATACTCTATTGTGTTTCATATGGCCAAGGTAACTTTATGCAGCTTGGCCTCTGTGTCTATCATGGGGAGTATTTGGGATCTTGGCTTCTTGTTTTTGTTCCCTTGTGTTGATTCCTCTGCTTCACCCTCCCCCACCCCCAAGTCCTGAGCCAGCAATAAATTACTCTGTGGTAGCTCAGCATCTTTGCTAGGAAGACCTGGGCCCGGCTTTATCATCTGCCAGTTATTTGTTTGAAGCTGTTGATAAAGCAGGAGAGGAGGGAGTCCTGTCCTGATGCTAAATAGAGGTGTACTCAGACCTTGAAAGCAGAGACTGAAAGAGAGAATCTGGACCTGTCAGCTTGTCCTGAAGCTCCAGGCTGAAGCTAATGGCAAACAGAAGCTGCCTCCTACGTGTTTCTGTGCTGAGTTTTGGCTGAAGTCAGTGGTGGCCTGCGTGCAGAGGGTTCCCAGACCAGATCTCTAATGAGAACAATAATTGAATGATCCTCCTGTCAAACCTTTCTGGGTTTGATTGGCGTCCTCATGCTGATTTGTTCTCTTATTGGCTTTCACAGGGGAACTCACAAAATATTTTTTTAAGTGAGTTAAACCTTGAGCTCGCTGCCTTGACCTGCTTTTCACTTCCTACAGATGGAGGTGCTTGTTCTCCTGGGCATGTCATGGATGTTTTCCAGGGTAACACAGAGCCTTCTGAAAGGCAGGTTTGGGTGCTGCTTGCATTATTCTTGACCCTAGTGCATTGTTCCCTGGCCCAGGAAGCCTGCTGCCCTGCTCCCTAGTAATACGTTGCCATTTGTTCTGCAGAAATCAAGGAGATGGAAAAGCAAGCGAGAAGGGACAGATGCCAACAGCCGACCAATCAAAGCTGCCGGGAAAGTTATTATCCAGGATATTTCCTGCCTGCTGCCAGTGCACAAGTTGCTAGGAGAACTCTACATGTGAGTACAGGCTGCGACCCTTTTGCGAATGAAAGCAGCCATCAGTGGCACTGCTGTGCTTTGTAATCCTGAATTGAGTCCGCACCGATCTTTGAATGTTTCCTTTCCCTCGTCCTCTGTTCCTGCCTTGCTGCTTTTTATGGTCTCTCTCTGCCTGTGAGAGGGGACTTGTTTCTTATAAATCTGAAAAGTGTGACAGGAAATTAATGATGGTGTATTGTATTCAGAGCTTGTAGAAGGGCTCCGGCATAATCGCTGCAAATCTTACAGGTTCAGATTTTCATCAGATAAAGAGAGAAATTATCAGTGCAAATTCTCTTGTAAAGTGTCACGTTAAAGAACTCCACAGTTAAATGCACAGGTTTAAAATTCCCTATAAATGCATATTCTCATACTCTAAAACTGTTCATAACGCAAGGATTTTTAACTTCAGAAGTTTTTGGGATGCCCCCTACTCTTGGAGATTTGTTTGTACATGCCAGCGTCTATACTGTGGGTTCTCCCACTTTAATCAAAAGGATGGAGAAGTTCTGTTTTTGAACAAGGAGACTCTTTTTCCAAAGTGTCCACTTCAGCTACTGAAATTCAAAAGCAGCAGCAAAAACAGTTAAACAGTCTCTGTTCCTCAATTCTTACTTCCTTAGCTTTGGTAATACTGTCTGGTCCTTCATAAAATTTTCCAGTTTGTACACATTCAGGGAAGAAGCAGGCTTCCCTTTTTAAAGGAAAAAAAAATTGAGAAACTCTCTTCCTTCTCTCTTTCCTATAGTATTAAAAAGATAGTCCTTCAAAAAGACCTGCTGGAACTTTCTTCTGGAAATCTCCTGTGTAAACTGCCTGACTTTGTTCTGTTTGCCTGTAAGAGTAAAAGTAATTAAAAAAAAAAAAAAAAAGTAGTAAAAAGTAGTAAAAGTTTCAAGTGTCCAAGGAACATTTCTGATGAAGAGCAGGAAAGCCCTTGTGTTTCCTCAACCCACCTTACCTCCCTCTCCATCCTGTCAGGAGAGGGAGATGTGTTATCCTGTGCAGGGAGATGCCCTTGGGAGATGCGTTATCCTGTGCAGGATCAGGCTGAATACTAGCCTGCTCCTCCGTGGTGAACAGCTGTCTCCTTCCAGGTCAAGCAGAGTGGATGAACAGGTTGATGAGAACTGTACCTTGTAATTGATGGCACCAGCTTCTAGGGGCAAGAAAAAAATCTTGGCTGGATAGTATGCTGGCACAAGTTTGATGCGCCACTTCCAAGGAAATATTGCATCTTAGGATCAATCTCAGCTAGTCTGGAGCTGGACTTGATGCAATAAGCAGTCTGTTAGAGAAGCTGAATAGTGCGATTTGCCAGAGGGAGGGCAGTGATCCCTGAATTATGGGGGGAGGAGGGATGGGATCCTGATCATCTTGCAGGCTCGTATGGAGCAGGGAGTTCTGGTCTATTAGCTCTTGCCAGTACCACATCCCTTCCATCCCTCCCTGTTTCCTAGGTAAAATGCCAATCGGAGCTGAGCTATCTCCTTTCTTTTTAGACTGAATGTGAATAATATCCAGGAGACTTGCCAGAAGAATGCTGCCTCAGCCTTGGCAGTTGGACGGAGGGATCTCGTACAGGTATTACGTTGAACTGGAGCACTTTCCAATGTGGTGTGCTAACCTCAAATGGCTTACACTGTCACCTCGATGCCAGAACCATTACACAGCCAGGCGAGTGCAGCGGTTGTTCCAGGGAATCTCTGAAACGGTTGATAAACTGAGGCCTGGGGAGCAGCTGAGGAGGAGATGTTCTCCACCTCGTTGACTCTTGGCATCAAGAGATCCCTTGCCAGGGCTGCAAGTCGATTGTTTCATGCCCTTTGACAAACTGATTGAAGCGCGTTTTTCAGGGGATTCCTGCAGGCAAAGCTAGGAATGCAGCCTGCTTTTGAGTCAGCAAATGAAGTAACTACACACAATTGCCTAGCTGCTGTCAGCATTTTGATCAGTGATTTTCTATTACTTATGTAATCATTCCTGTTGTAATTAGCTCAGCATTCATCTGTGCTGGCACTGGGTGCTAACTGCAGCTAGCTTCTCCCCAAGAGAGCTTACAGTCTGAATCTGGGGACCCAGCTGCAGGAATGGGTTGGGTGATGACCTTCACCTAGTAATATGAGAAAAACGCCTATTGTGGCCCAGCCTTTTCCAGATGACCAGTCCATCGCAATGTGCAGCATATTTGACAGCGCTCAGGAGTGCCTTGAGAGATAGGAGTGGGCTAGTGCTACTAGAAGTTAAATGCTCCTGAGCATTTAACTCTCCCTAGATCGGGGAGAACAAGACATAGAGCCTAGAGCCTGGCTCTCCCTGCAGCAGGGAACAGGCATAGGCTTGCCTGGTCTAAGCAGAAATAAACTCAAACTGTCGTCTTGCTGTGGGATTGTTAGCTTCATGGTGGGTTCTGCTAGATCAGCAGAGAGAGGCTAGATCTAGTTTCCCTTTGTTTGTGCTTCGTTTTACTGTCTGGTTTGCCCATAAGTAGTGACTTTAGGATATCTAGTTCCTTCTGTTAGCTGCTTCAGACTTTTCCCTATCTTGTAGGTGAACTTTCCCATCGATTGAATTAAAAACAAGAACTGATGTTTAAGCATAAGACCTAGTGAGGCTACTTTTAGTGTTTGAATGTCAGTTTGTGTGTTTCTTGATTTGCTCAAAATATTAAAAGATCCAGTATGTAGTCAAGGGAAAACTAATTACTGGAATAACTCCAGCAAGAGTTTCTGTGATATCTCTGCTCCTTGCTTGTTTTCCCTGCCTCATGTAACTTAAGCCTGTATTGCATCTTGCCTTTTTCCGAGGCTTGAGCTGTAGTTAAACTTGCTCTGTAACAGCATAGGAAGGGGGCATCTTTGCAACTTCCTTTCTGTGCTCTCTTGTACTCAGGCCTGTCCTTGTGTTGTTTCTCTGCTTTTTTTTCAGTTCACAGTGAGCAGTTGGGGGCTTACTGTTCTGGGTGGCTGTTCTTTGTACTTGGAGCACTTCCTTCTTCTCTACTACTTTTCTGTGTTATCCAGTTGTCTCCTCTCTAATTCTCTTTCCAGCGCCACACGCCTTTTCCTTTCCTGTTCTTTTCTTGTGCCAAACTAGGAGCTTTGCTCTTCCTGGGATAGCTTGTACTAATTGCCTTATTTTAAAAAAGCATAGCAGAAAAAAACAGTTCTAGATTGAATGTAGTCACACACATTCAGTGGCATAGAGACTGAGAAGAGGGAACTTTTTTCAGAGGAGAGGGAGATAAGCGAAGGAGGAACTTGGCATATGAAATAGTTAAACTGTTGGGGTAGAAATGGCAAACTGTACTCCGGTCTACACTGAGCTGCACTAGGAGAACAGAGGTGTTCAGTAACACTCACAGTGAATCAAATGATATTTTTTATGCAAGTAAGGATTCACCAGTAAGCTTTCTGCCACCAAGCATCTCTGAACCCAAGAACAGTATCAAATTTAAACCCTTCTGAGGTTTGTGAGTATAAAATACACTAATAGGTCTATTAAACTAAAGACTATTATTTTTCAAAGTTTAACCTAACTTCGAAACAAGTGCGACAGCGAGAGCATTTCCCTCCTGTTCATGTTGTTCTATATATTGTCCACCATAGAGAGGCTGGAACTGCTGCCTGTTATAGCAAAGCTCCATTATCTATCCGTGAGTAAATTTGTGTACGCTGATACTCTGGGAGACTGGCTACTTCCTTTTCTAATTGCAGGTTTAATGCTTTTTTTTTCCTGTTTACCAGGTTTGGTCGCTAGCCATGGTAGCCACTGATCTCTGTCTTGGACCAAAGTCTGACCCAGATTTGGAGATACCCTGGGCGCAACATCCTTTTGGACGTCAGTTACTGGAATCCTTGTAGGTCTCTGAAAGCTGGGGAGGGAATGGGGGAACGTTCTCTGAAGCAGAGCCTTCATAACTGTGTACATAGCACAGCATCATTTCAGACTTGGAGCCCTGCTGCAGTTTGTATTTCTTCTCTCTCAAGCCTGAGATGCATCAAGGAGCGAAGCTGCAGGTGCAATTTATGGGAAATAGGAGGCAGCAGTTGGCCTCTTATCAAGCAGCTGGTTGAGCAGTAGGTGAGGTGCGGCTGGAGTTCTGCTTTGCAGCATGTCCACAAGGCCTGATGTAGAAGTTACGGTTTTGGTTTTCCACTCGTCACCTCTTAAACGAGCGTTTTGGTTCAGCTGCTTGGTTCACCATCAGATCAGATTCACTGTTGCCATATAGCATATTGAGAAGTCATTCCACTGGTCTCTCGGATGAGTATTAGCCACAAGTGTCCTCCTGCCGGTGAATCTGTTCAGGAGGGGGAATAATTAGTAACTAACATTATCTGTTGATAGATTCCATTCAGAGGGGCAGGATTTGTGTGACGTGCTTTACATACTGTTGCTTGTCCTAGCCCTCTCCTGCTGTGAGGCACAGGTGGGAGAGGAGCACAGTTCTTGGTCGCTCTCGAACAGTCTTCATAGCAGACTTCATAACAGTCTTCATTCAGAAAACCTTTGGTGGAGTTTTGCCTTGTGACCTAGATGGGTGATGCTTGTGTGTCTCGGGTCTTCTCAAAAAGATGTCGTGCCTGGGAGTGAGTCTAATGGCTCCAGATTTACATCCAATTAAAATCGCTTTTGTGGTCCTTGTTCTTGAAGCTGCACAAACCTGAGATAATCAGGCCAACCAATACTGCAGAGGAATAAGAGGAAAAGATTAGATGCTCAGAATCATCTTTCTCCCACCTGTAAGGCCATGAGTGTTATCAGAATGAGGATTCAGCTTCTCAGGAGGGTGACTGAAAAGACAGCCCGGTCCTGCAGAGCGCATGTGCCTCCTGCGGGCAGTAATGTGCCCAAAATTAGTTTATGCAACAGGCTTGAAGTTAGTTACACTGGATTCTCTCTGCTTTTTCCACTCAACTCTGCCCAGTCTCATACTCTCTGTCTTTTTTTCTTTCCCAGGCTGGCTCATTACTCGCAGCTACACGATGTGCAGACCCTTGCTATGCTATGCAGCGTGTTTGAAGCCCAATCCAGGCTACAGGGATGCCTGAATTCCTATGGCCCCTTTCCTCAGCGTGCCTCCAACCTGGCCTCCCACAGCCGCTATGTATGACAGCCATTTCTTTCCTGTTTGTCTTCAAAATCTTTGAACATCTGTCATGTGGATGACGTAATTTCCTCTCCTTTCCACCTCAACAGCCCAGCTTTACTTCCTCTGGCTCCTGTTCCAGCATGTCAGATCCTGGACTTGGCACTGGAGGCTGGAGCATAGGTACAGAGACGGGGGTAGTAGACAGAGGAATCTGCCTCCCTTCTGGCCTAGGTCTTAGATGGCTCCTGTGGTGGGGAAGGAGGGGAATTAGTACTGGCAGTGATTGCAAGTGCTTTCTGCAGCTGGGCACGTGGGGTACCTGATGCAACTCCTTGGCCGGAAGCGAGCAGAGCTTGCAAACTGCGTTGATGGTCCTGCGTTCCTGCCCCTTCTGACTTCTGTAGCATATTCTGTCAGACTGAGTTTTGGAGGAACTGCTAGAAACTCTCTAGACATACTGAGCTAAGCCCCTGGATGCCAGATCAATCCAGAGCCAAGAGCTGCTTCTGCCACCTTTTCTGGTTGAAAGCAAGTAAAGAGAGAGACCAGTTTGTGCCATTTTGCTTCCAGCCTGGCTATAGCTAGCGCTCAGGGTGACTACCTTATTGCTCTCTGGTGACATAAGCTCTCCCCTGCCCTAGCACTTGCACGGTTTGAGGTTGTTAACTCTGTGCAGTGATGCCATAGTTTTCAACAGGTAGGATGCTGCCAGAGGGCTACCTTCTCTCCTGTTGCACAGGGTTCAAGGGGGGAAAAGATCTCTGTGCTTTCTCCAGTTGCTGGAACTCAAACATCGGCAGTTGGGAAGGCTGGGTTGTTGGTGACATGGATACCTGTGGGCCTAAGGACGTTTTTTGCTGAGCTGTAAACGTATCAAAGACAAGTCACTCTTAAGGACGCCTGTGTCGGAGAGAGCTAAAGCTGCTTACTGATTCCTAGTGATAATGCATTGCCTAGGGCAGCATCAGCCTGTTAGCAGCAAATCTGCAACCTTTCAGTGTAGTATCGAGGCATCTATGACATAGGGAAGAGTGCAGAGTTAATGGTGATGGTCCATCAGGTTAATGGACCTGATGACGTCCTGTAGCAGTTAATATCAGTCTTCTCCCTGCCCCCAGGGCAATGTCTTACAGACCAAGGCCCCTTTACGTTGACAGCGGCCCCGATGATGATGAAAATCCTCCCTGTCTGGGGAAGAGGAGCCCAGGCTGGGTTAACCTTGCCAAGCAAACTCCATGAGATTACCTGAAGTGGAAGGCAAAAGGGGTTCCTCCATGTTAGATTGATGAACCCCATTCCCATGCTATCATCAGGAGCCCAGGAGAAGCATTGGCAAGTAGAGAGGTTAGCTCTTAGTTTTCTGAGATGGAGTAGTGTTTGTAGGGGTGCGGAAAGTGATACAACAGTGTCTTAGAAAACCAGAGTGTGCGCTCTTCCGTTTGACTTTCACGTCTCTGCCCCCCGCCTCTACTTTTGACAAGATTGTGCTCATGAGTATTATGCTTTATGGTATGCTCATCGTCTTTTGATGCCTGCAGCAAACAAAGACACAGAGCAGGCCTCCACTCCCTGGTGCGAGTCTTCTCCAGATGACTTCCGCTATGGAAATCTAATGTATCCTGATCATCGGGAGCGTGAGAAGGATCAACATGAGAAAAACAAAAGGTAGCTTATAGCATGCCTCCAGGTTATTCAGGAATACGTGACTCCATGCTCAAGTCAACCAGTCTATAGCCAGTCACTCCTGGTGCTGTGAAAACTAGCAGAAAGCAAGTAACAAGCCTGCTTCTAGACCTTTTAATTCAGTAAGTAATTCGGAGAAGTGTCATACTGCAGATCAGTTCTGATAGGACTGCATATGATAAGTCTATAAGATGGCTGTGGTGAGACCCCGAGAGGACAGTCCACCCATATGGCACACCCTCGAGCATAGAACAAACGAAGGGCAGACCAGTCGATGTGTTAACAGTATTTCAGCAACACATGGCAAGTAATATGCTGCTCTTCTAGTGATGTGAGCTGGTTGTGTAGCCATCGTTGCGAAGAGTATTGCAGCCAGGGTCTCAAAGAGTAAGTCAAGCGGATGACATTGCAGTCTGTTCCCCCAGGCTCCTGGACCCTGCCAACACCCAGCAGTTTGACGACTTTAAGAAGTGCTATGGAGAAATCCTTTATCGCTGGGGCCTGCGAGAGAAGCGGGCCGAGGTTCTAAAGTTTGTCTCTTCTCCTCCTGATCCCCACAAAGGAATCGGTGCGTGCATGCTTCTGTCTTCTCCAGCTACCCAGGCCAAATTGCGACTCTGCCTCAAGGGTTTGGGAGCTAGCAGTTGGTGGGCATGATGAAAGTTATCTATGAGTCGGCACAGAGGTCAGCTCTGCCAGCAAACTATCAACTTCTTTGCAGCTCAGAGTGGAGATGAGATTTGCAGATGTTGGTTCAGTGGCTTTGTAGGCTGTAACATCTCTCTAGCGCACCTGCAAACACATGTACAGCTAATCTAGAGATGTTTGGCTAATTATGCTGGTGGCTGTTCTTTATTTCCTCTAAATAGGAGCACAGGCGCACAGTACCCTAGTCTCTGATTCTGGGTTGAGGTGTTCTTATAGTTCGTGTGTAAAATTGCAAGATCTCTAGCTGTGGGTGAACTAGACAGGAAATAGGCAAATAAAACGTTTCTTCCAAATTATTTTCAGCAATGTAGCTGCCCAGAAGCGCTACTCGAGGGCAGTTGCTAAAATATCTTCTTACTAGGCCCCTGGGAAAAGATGCACTTAGCCTGGGAGGAGAGAAGCAGGTGAAGGATGCCAGAGAAGCAGCGGTTGCTTGTTTAGCTCTTGTTACACTGTCTCACCTTATAATGTGGAATTCCTTCTGGAATGAAAATTGGTGACTTCAGCCGTTGCCTTTGCTCCTCCATGGCCAGTGGTCGCAACACTGATAACATCCACATTGAGTGTGCTATGCAGAAACAAAGGCTGTTCCTGTTCTTAGCTGCACTTCAGAGATGTGGGGTGCAGATGAGAACAGCTGGAAGCCTTCGTCTCCACAGCATGTGTCGGTATATCCCAAGCTAGAAATCTGAGGCTGAGGCACATTCCCAGCAGACAGCTGTTTAGCTGTCAGGGGAACTGGTGGGCCAGTCTGTGTCCCAGCACACTAATTGCCCATATTAATAGTGGCTGGCGATATCTCTTTGCTCCTCCTTGGAGGTCAAAATGAGATCTGTAAAACATACTGTTCTCCTACTCTGAAGGAGGATCCCTTCTGGGCTGATCCGAGGTAAATCTCTTGGGCAGTGGGTTCAGGGGGCTTTTGTGTACCTGCTGAATGTAGGGTTGAATGGAGGATGTTTTTGTCTGCAACTCTGCCAGGCTGATTGTCTTGCTCTCCATTTCTTTCCTCCTGCCAGAGTTTGGTGTGTACTGTAGCCACTGCCGCAGCGAGGTGCGAGGCACCCAGTGTGCCATCTGCAAGGGCTTCACGTTCCAGTGTGCTATCTGTCACGTGGCGGTGCGAGGCTCCTCTAACTTCTGCCTGACATGTGGACACGGAGGACACACCAGCCACATGATGGAGTGGTTTCGCACCCAGGAAGTGTGCCCCACAGGCTGTGGATGCCACTGCCTGCTCGAGAGCACGTTCTGAACAGTCGTGAGAGCAGAGCGCCCATGAACTGGATTTGATATTTAATTCCCAAGCCATGTTGAATCAGCTCTGCTGCGTGGTGTCTGGAGGAGGTGCTACAGGCTGCTGCACCGAGATTTCCTGGTGGTGCACTGCGGTGGTGTTTACGCGTGCTTCCAGTATTCAAACACTTCCCAGGTTGCTTTCAGACTGATTTGACCAAACTCCCTGTGTCCATTGCTGGCAATGGATGCCAGACCAGAAAAATCGCTCCCTCCTGCAGAAGGATATGTGAATATTGACTGGTCATTTTTTGGGCTGAGGGGATGTTTAAAAAGTTCCTTTGGAAAACACTCAACGGGCAGAGCCAAATTTGCTCCAGCTACATAGTGTCTTTCCAGATACCTCCTGACAGGGGCGGAAAGTGAGCAAAATAGAGAGTGGTCTTTGCACAATGAAGGTGGAAATAATTCACAGGCAGCAGTGAGCTAAAGAGGCTAATTACAAACTGTGTTTGAAGAGCACATAGTCCGTGGGACTTGCTCAAAGTTACTGAGGCGACAGGGTCCTTAATTTGCTGTTTACAGTGCTCTGGTTGTCCCATAAAACACAAGTATCAAACTACACTTTTCAGGATTATTTCCTAAATAGCTTCCTACTCACTGGTCAGTATCTGCAGCTGGTATCAAAACCCCAGCCGTGTGGCCAAAATTGCTAGGATTAGTTGTTTTCTTCCAGCAATTTTAATAGTGTTACTCCTAAGGTGTCTCCGTTTTGCTGTTCTGACTGGGTGATACGATGCACTTTAACTTGCCCGTCCCTGCCTTGTCAGTGACACGTCCTGGTGGCTGGGAAAGGCCATCTGCCTTTTGATCTTTGGATCCACACGGTGTTTCCATGGATGGTGACGCTGCCTCCTCTGGTCCGGGCCTGGGTCTCTCGTTGTGCGTCAGGGAACGTATGAGAGCGTTTTGGAAGGCCCGTCGTTTCCTTGCCAAGAAAACTCGAGGGAGAGGCTCTTGGCCATGAAACTCCTTTCAGCTATTTTCTCCAGGCCAGCCCACCCTGTTCGTATGGGGGATCTCAAGGAGCAATTTGAGATTCGCTACCGAAACTGAGCTGTCGGTGTGCTTGAGTGACTAGGCCGGCGGGCCGGGGAGGCAGCAGCTTCAAGGGGGAAAGGGGTTTTGCCGGGTGGTGGGATTCACAGAGGCGAGAGGTTTGTACCTCTTCTCTCTGTGGCGCTTCGCTTTGCGAATGTGCTTGCATGGGCCGTCTGTTTTGTGAGGCTCTGCCTGCCGGCTGCTGGGACGCTGTTGTGCCGCTGTCCGTGCAGTTGTGCGCACGCATCGGGCGTGCAGCCCGGGCCTCTCCTAAGCAGGCTTCCGTCTTGAGCTTTGATTTTGGGCAAACGTGTGGTCAGGGGCTGACCCCCTGGAGTTACCCCCTTCCCTCCGCTGGCACCGGTCCTTTCCTCCTGCGCTCGCCTGCTGAGCAGGGCCGCCTGCTGCGCCCTCTCCGACCCCTTGCACCGACTGAGGCGGTGGGATCCTGCTGTCGAATAAACAGATGGTGTATCTTAAACATTAAAATTATTTTTGTAAGCACTCTTCTGATGAGAACTGTTGTCGCTGTGCTGGTTCTCCCTTCATGGGGAGCCCTGAGCGGCTCTTCCTCCCTGCGCAGCTCTGCGCCGCGTCGGTGGTGCCGCCAGGCTGGCCCGTGGCCCCCAGAGCCCTGCCGTGCCCTCCCTGGTCCCCTTACGAACGCCCGTGCTGGTGCCGCACGGTGGCAGCAGAGACCTGCGGTAGCTGGGGGGGTCCCCGG